GGAGTAATCACAGAGGAGGAGCGAGCGGCGAGCGCTCGGATTTGTATTAGCGGAGTCGAGGGATTATCCTGAGCGGCGGGGGAGGGCAGGGGAGGTTATCCCACGAGGGGTGTACGGGAGGGCTAGAGATAGGGGCCGAGAGGTAGGGACGGCCGGCGATGGCGCTCCAGGGAACGCGCGCGGCCGCTCCACCACCATCGCTTACGATCCGTCACGACACCGTGAGTAACCGACACGCGCATCATCATCATCATAATCATCATCCATCATCCACTACTACAAAGGCAACGCAACAGCGTAGCGATAGCGAGACGGAGAGCACGCAGAAAGTCTCGATCGTCACTCGCTTGTGGTTTAACAAACACCGTGCATAGCCTGGAGCAGCATCATAATCAGCATCATCATCAGCATCATAATCAGCATCATCATCATCATTATCGTCGTCGTCTATCAAGCAGAGCGATCGTGAGAGAGACGACGCACGGGAAAAGTCGAGCTTCGAACATCGCTCGCTCGTGACTTCAGGACGAGTGTGCCGAGTGAGAGGCGCTGCGCGATTTGTGCATCGGCCTCCGCTCGAAGTCCCCGCTGCTCGCGTCCTCGAATCCTCCTCTCGAACTTCGCTCCTTTCCCGCTAGCCCGGGCGACAACTCGTCCCTCTGACATTCGTAGGAAGAAGAAGAAGAGCGCACGAGGAAGGTCGACCACAGGAGAGGTGCCGAGCTGAATCTCGCACACTCATCGCGGTGCCGAGGATGGCTCGGCAGTGTTGAGCTCTACGCGAGCCTCTCTCTCTCTCCTACTCAGTCCGGTCACTTGGCCTTTTTAGGCCGTCGGGGGCATGACCGTCCTGTCGACGATTCCACGTCCGTCGCTGCGGCTCTCCAACCGAGGGGGCCGCAACGGCTGCCTGCCCGTGTGGTGTCGACTGTCCTGCTTTGCGCTTCGTCGCCTGCTCAGCCGGACGATAACTCGCGCGTCAAGCTCGTCAGCCGTGCAGTCCGCGCACGCTGCGACTATCGAAGTAGCGCCCTCCGCCTTGCTGAGCAAACATCGCAGCGATCTGCGTGTCCGTGGTGCTCCAACACAACGCGCGCGCCCTGCGAGCCGCCCGCACTTTGTTCAACACTAAGAAAAAGAAGGTAATAATCGCAAGATAAAGACAAAGATCCCCCGCCTAGTCACGCAGGCTGTTGAGGCATGGGTCGTTCGGGGCGCATTCATCCAGGAGTTTGGTGTTGCCAGATATGACGCGCACACGCGGCAGCAGGTCGTCGACTCACTTAGCCGGAGGAACCATGAGCGGTTGACATGTTCGTAACTGATGGATGGTTCGCTGTGAGCGTGAATCGAACCCGGTTGTTGGGTGGGTTTGCAGCACTGCGCTCTGGCGCTCCATGATTCACCCACACTCCACAACACCGCGCGCGCACACCACTCGTTTCAGCCTCTGTGGGTTCCCTTTCGCTTTACATTACAAGATCTCGGAACCACGAGGTTCGCGTGAACGAATGGTGTCGGTGTCGCGGGACGTTAAAGACTCGCACAGCATCCAAGTGCGGCATCGGCACAATCATCTGTCGCGTGAATGCGTAAAGAGCGCGACGGGGAGTGAACGCTCGTTCGTGGATCCAACACGGTGCCACCCGGGACAGGCGACAGTCCGACAGACAGACAGACCCACAGGCCGACAGACAGCCCCACAGACCGACAGACAGACCCACAGGCTGATAGACAGATCCACAGGCCGACAGATAGACCCACAGACCGACAGACCCACAGACCGACAGACAGACCCACAGGCCGACAGACAGAACCATAGACCGAGAGACAGACCCACAGACCGACAGACAGACCCACAGACCAAGAGACAGACCCACAGACCAAGAGACATACCCACAGACCGACAGAGAAAACCACAGACCGACAGACAGACCCACAGGCCGACAGACAGAACCATAGACCGAGAGACAGACCCACAGACCGACAGACAGACCCACAGACCAAGAGACAGACCCACAGACCGACAGACAAAACCACAGACCGACAGACAGACCCACAGGCCGACAGACAGAACCATAGACCGAGAGACAGACCCACAGACCGACAGACAGACCCACAGACCAAGAGACAGACCCACAGACCGACAGACAAAACCACAGACCGACAGACAGACCCACAGGCCGACAGACAGAACCACAGACCGACAGACAGACCCACAGACCGAGAGACAGACCCACAGACCAACAGACAGAAACACAGACCGACAGAGAGACCCACACACCGACAGACAGACAGACCCACAGACCGACAGACAGACCCACAGGCCGACAGACAGACCCACAGGCCGACAGACAGACCCACAGACCGACAGACAGACCGACAGATAGACCCACAGACCGACAGACAGACCCACAGACTGACAGAGAGACCCACAGGCCGACAGACAGACCCACAGACCGACAGACAGAACCACAGGCCGACAGACAGAACCACAGACCGACAGACAGAGAGAAAGAACGACCGACCGAGTCGCCTGGGTTAATGTTGGAGGTGAGAAGACGTTTGAACGAGTTGCTGAACTGCGTGCCTCTTATTCACGCAAGGAGCATTCTAATTAAACCGAATTCATTACGCGCCGGCCGTGTGGGGGCCACATTTGAATGCAGACACGAAACTCAATTGGTAGAGGGGGGGGGGGTGGAGTTTTAACCGTGAATACTAAAGGACTTCGCGAGATGACTCGATTCGTGGTGTCGAGGTGTTGCCAACCCTCGGGATTCATTTCTCACGCGGAATTTTCTGGAATGCTGCAACATTTGGTGGCTGGCATCATCATCATCATCAACACGGACATCATCATGACAGCATCATTGTGACCACCTCATCATCTTCATCGTCATAACAACCTCATCATCTACTACAACAGTGTATCGATAGCGGTGAAGAGAGCACGCACAATTCATCGTGTGGTGTTTAAAAAAAACCCAGCAACAACAGTTGTGGGATTAATGCTGTGGGGCACTCTATAAGGGTGGTAGCTGAGTGGAGCAGTCCACTCGTTCCACCAGAGTAGACGTGGTTGTATTGGGGGTAGCTGAGTGGAGCAGTCCACTCGTTCCACCAGACTACACGTGGTTGTATTGGGGGTAGCTGAGTGGAGCAGTCCACTCGTTCCACCAGAGTAGACGTGGTTGTATTGGGGGTAGCTGAGTGGAGTAGTCCACTCGTTCCACCAGACTACACGTGGTTGTATTGGGGGTAGCTGAGTGGAGTAGCCCACCCGTCCCACCAGACTACACGTGGTTGTATTGGTGGTAGCTGAGTGGAGTAGTCCACTTGTTCCACCAGAGTAGACGTGGTTGTATTGGGGGTAGCTGAGTGGAGTAGCCCACCCGTCCCACCAGACTACACGTGGTTGTATTGGGGGTAGCTGAGTGGAGCAGTCCACTCGTTCCACCAGAGTAGACGTGGTTGTATTGGGGGTAGCTGAGTGGAGCAGTCCACTCGTTCCACCAGAGTAGACGTGGTTGTATTGGGGGTAGCTGAGTGGAGTAGCCCACCCGTCCCACCAGACTACACGTGGTTGTATTGGTGGTAGCTGAGTGGAGTAGTCCACTTGTTCCACCAGAGTAGACGTGGTTGTATTGGGGGTAGCTGAGTGGAGTAGTCCACTCGTTCCACCAGACTACAGTGGATGTATTGGGGGTAGCTGAGTGGAGTAGTCCACTTGTTCCACCAGAGTACACGTGGTTGTATTGGGGGTAGCTGAGTGTAGTCCGCTCGTCCACCAGAGTACACGTGGTTGTATTGGGGGTAGCTGAGTGGACTAGTCCGCTAGCTCCACCAGACTACACGTGGTTGTATTGGTGGTAGCTGAGTGGAGTAGCCCACCCGTCCCACCAGACTACACGTGGTTGTATTGGGGGTAGCTGAGTGGAGTGTCCACTCGTTCCACCAGAGTACACGTGGTTGTATTGGGGGTAGCTGAGTGTAGTCCGCTCGTCCACCAGAGTACACGTGGTTGTATTGGGGGTAGCTGAGTGGACTAGTCCGCTCGTCCACCAGAGTACACGTGGTTGTATTGGGGGTAGCTGAGTGGACTAGTCCGCTAGCTCCACCAGAGTACACGTGGTTGTATTGGGGGTAGCTGAGTGGAGTGTCTACCCGTTCCACCAGACTACAGTGGTTGTATTGGGGGTAGCTGAGTGGAGTAGTGTGCTCGTTCAATCAGAATAAGTGTATGTAAGTATTTAAGTATCGGGGAGCGGTGGTGCTGTGGTTAACGCATTACGCATCACGCGCTCACCACGGCTAACATCAGTGGCGAGTAATATTTAAAAATGCGGTCCCGTGTCTCCTCCAGGTCAATTCAACCTTGAATGAGCACCCCAATTCAATTGCGTGCGCCATTCCACCCTTGACACGTGCTCACTAACAGCACCAGCTCCCCCAACTGATGAGCGATGTCCGAACCGGTCCTGGACACCCACGTGCGTGGTGAAGTATGGTCATGCAGCCCCCCCCACCCCCACGATACAAAGACGAGGGAGCGCTTCTGCACACTTCAGCACGGCGTATTTATAACGGGGGGCGTGCATTGTTACAGCGTCGTCACCTTTAGCCATTGTTAATCAGCTGCTGGATGAAGGCCTCGCCAAGCCGCCGTCACCTCTCGTGATCCTGCGACGTGATATCATTAAATTATATCTGTAAAGGCGCAGCGCTGCGATTTGCTCGCTCAAGACACTACTGGCGGAAGAGCCCTCACTAGAGACAGAGTGGGTGGGGGGTAAGAAACGTGCTTACCGCTGCTACTGCCGCGCCGGCAGATCGAATCTAACCGGGCGCCGTCTGGATTGCAAGTCCGATGTGCTCACCACGACACCCACTTGGCCACCTCAATTGTATTCATCATATTGCACGAGCTCTGTATAACAAAAAATGAAAATCACGTTATTCACCATCACCACCACCATGTCCCGTCTGCTCTCTACCAGATCGTAGACAAGTCGCACGCGTCCATGGCTGACCTGGCGGACACTGAGGACGATCAACTCACGACACCGGAGCGACTCGCCACTTGACTCTGCGCCGGCGACTCCAGCGGCCGGGACTAACCCTGAACACTGACGGACAGCTCCCTCCGCCGGGCTGCACCTCGACTCCTCCATCGTCTCGCAGCAGCCGCTGTTTGGTGGTGAGAGGATTTGGGGCAGGGGGAGCGGGGGTGGGGTGGGGTGGTCGGGAGAGGCGGGGGGGAGGTGGTGGCGGTGGATAAAAAAAAAATACTTCCCCCCCCCCCCCACCCCCTCCGCTATGGCCGTGATGTCGAGAGGATGCGTTGACACCAGCGGGCGCCACTGATGAATGCACGAGCCCACCGGAGACCCCAAGAATTCCTCCTCCTACCCACGAGGGGGTCGCCGCAAATGACGGCCCGACGTGAGGTGCGAGTCCCGGTGCGGCTCGCTGTGGCTTGGCCCACGCTGCTGCTGCTGCTGCTGGGTCTGTGTCTGTGCGGCCCCCGCCGGGCGCTGGCGCAGTACGACGTCTGTAAGAGCACCGTGAGCTGGGACTCGAAGCTGCTGGCGCCCGCCTGGGAGTACTCGGCGTGCCAGCCGCCCACCGCCGACCTGGGCCGCTTCGTGCGCGTCAGCCTCGAGCCGCCCGACATCACCTGCGGGGACCCGCCCGAGCGCTTCTGCACCCTGGTGAGGGGGCGGGGGGAGAGGGCGGGGCTGGGAGGGGTGGGGGGGGGCTGGGAGAGGCGGGGGGGGCTGGGAGAGGTGGGGGAGGGGGCTGGGAGAGGCGTGGGGGGGGGCACCCGAGATAGAGGTGGGGGAGACTTGGGAGAGAGGGAAGTGGGAGGGGGGGGACCTTGGAGAGAGGTGGGGGAGGGCTGCAGGGGAGAACCATCCGAGCACTTCTCTACCCTAGTGGGAGGGGGTGGGGGGACTGGATGAGAGGGAGAGAGAAGGGGGTCCTAGGGGAGAGAGAGGGGGGTCCTGGGGGAGAGAGAGGGGGGTCCTAGGGGAGAGAGAGGAACCTGGTTGGAAGAGGAGAAGTGGGGACCTGGGAATGAGAGAGACCTTTTTTTTCAATCCACTGCTGGATGTGGGCCTGCCCACGCCGTGCAAGTCGTGGGGACGTTCCTGTGACTTTATAATATCGGAGTGAAGAGCGTTCCAGACGGCCGCAGAAGCGCATACGAAAGCGCGCGATGCGGTGACCGTCTTTGTTCGATGGCAAGCGAACTCTCATGTTACAGTACGGGATGGTTGAGCCAGATGATTGCATCGGGAGTAGCGGAGCAGCGCAACGCTCTGACGATGCAGCCTTCGTATTCGCGATTCGGGGATCGCTCCGAGTTCCTTGGTTCTGTGCTGGATTGATCACATCATGGTATGTCGTCTCGGCATTCCCACAGCGCGCTTGCTTCGTGTTGTGCGTGAGATTCCTGCTATGTCTTCATGTTGACCTCAGCTTAAATTACGCCACCACGTTCCGCTCGGGAGGCTGCCCGCGGATTTCACGTGCATTAGATCAATGGGGGAGCAGTCTTGCTGGGTCTACTCATGCAGCACCGCGTCCTCCCCCCCCCCCCCCCCCCTTGGTAATGAATGGAGCGAGGGCCCTGCCCGCTAACATTTTATGGCGGCGGAAATTGACATCTTCAGTTGCTGTGGTTCCATGGATTGTCCTCACCCCTGCCATGGTAAGGTGGAATTTCCACAACCGCGTGTTCGGGGGCTGTGGATAGAAATATAAGGAAGTGTAGGTTGCATTGTTCGTGTACTGTTTGTCTGTATGTTGAACTTCTTTTTCACCGTACGTATCCAACCGTGCCAATCGGAGGTCCGGGGGAAGGACAACAAACACAAAAGCAGTTCTAGATGAAGCGAGTTTTCAATTTTAAAATGTACGTGTACAGGAGGGAAGCTGCCGCTGTGTAATGGTCATCAAACTGAACCGTGTAATCCAGAGGTCGCAGGTTCGATTCCACCTCCCTGCACACGCAGATGATGCACTGCGGCAAGGTTCTTAAACTCTACCACCTCTGCAGAGCCAGCTGCGCGGTGAACGTGAGAACGTTGGGCCATCGTTGTGGTCCAACGTTGTTGGCTCAGCGTTGTTTACTGGCAGCATAACTGGGCAATTGCAGGGTTGCGCATTTACCTTTTTGCATACACAAACACATGCATTTATGCTGGAGGAATCCGATGGGCTATAAAGCTCTTTTTCACAGATGTCCAGTAGGAGCAGGTCAGAACGTTACAACAACAAACAGATCACAAACACGTTAGGAGTGCAAAGTAAAGAAAAGGTAAACAAATCACTTAAAATATATAAACAAAACTAAACTATATCTTTTTTTATTTAAAGCTTTCGTGACTGCAGGGATTCATCTTCTTGGTTCTTTCGGTAAAATCACGTAGAAGGGAAATAATAAAATAATACAAATAAAACTTGTTTTAGTAATAGGTTTTTACCCTTTTATCTGGCACAAAAACTGACACCTTTATACAAGGGATCATGTTTGCAATAACCACAACACAAGTAGTCAAAATGCAAACAAAAAAGACAACTCTGATAATATGCACTGTCCTTGAATTTGATTGGTCCACACCCGAGACGGCTTTTCTTAGAGCCCAGTCTGGGCTCTTGTGTTGTGGTTATTGCAAACATGATCCCTTGTATAAAGGTGTCAGTTTTTGTGCCAGATAAAAAGGGTAAAAACCTATTACTATATCTTGTTACTGGCAAATGAGGTCTCATAATGTAAAAACTCGTTTTATTTTTAAAATAATAAAAATATGTTTTATTTTTAATAAAAACATGTTATATTTTTAATAAAAACATGTTTTATTTTTAATAAAAACATGTTTTATTTTATTACCTAAAAATATTTCCCTAAAAATAAAATGTTTAATGTTTTTATTATTTCCCTTCTACGTGACTTTACCGAAAGATCCAAGAAGATATATATTTTTTTATCTTGGCCAAGTGAAGCCCACTGAGCTCTTAACTTATTTCTGAGAAGCGACCTGGCCACAAATAATATCTCAACAAAAGTGGCTTATCATGTGGAAATTTGAAGCGGCACAATAATCTAAACCACAACATGACCCAGTCACTCGCAATGCACGCAATCTGCTAAGCGAGGCCGTGCATACCAGGTGCTATAGGCTGCGAGTCGCATTCCCCGGGTGCGCGATCTCGTGGTGGCAACTTGCATTGCTGCCGTATTCGCAGAGCACGCGAGCGACAGGCTCGTCCGATGTTAACCTTGGGCCGGGACAAGCGTTTACAGCGGATCAGATAGCAGCACCGAGACCCCTAATGAAGCGATACTCAGCCTTCGCTCCACTTAAACCACCCACACTCCCCCCCCCCCCCCCAACTAGCCCTCCGCTCCCCCCCCCCCCCCCCACCTTAGCCCCCCACCGCCCACACTTCAATCTGCTCCATCTGCCAGTGCCGAGAGCCCTGTTGGGTCTCTCGCTTCAACCCGAACGCCCTAGCGGGGAATTCGGTTAAACGGACGGTGCGGAACGGGCAATCAAACGCCCCCCCCCCCCTCTCTCCCTACCATCACCCCCCACCCCCGGTCAACAACGGAGACTAATAACAAACAACCACATGTATAAGACGATTGTGATAATAAATTATAATTATTTAAACTCGTAACGCGCCGCCGCGCACTTTGTTCAGATAGTGAGTCGGCCCGACCAATGCTCGTCCGAGTTTTGCGGTCCTCTATATATTAAGATATTCTCGGCCATTTAATGAGGAGTGCTTACACGTGGGAGGGAGCACCCGGAGAATGCCCCACGGGTGCGAGGGGGCAACACTCAATCCCGTACGGAGGGGCTGCACGGTTTGCTGTACCACCTTCTGGCGCGCCAGGGTCCGGCTCCTCCTCGACCCTCCCCCCCCACCCACGGGAAGGGAGTGTCACGACATCTGTGCGGCGATCCACCAACCCTCGCCTTCACAGTGCTGGATCGCGGGATCGCTGGCCACGAGCGTGTCCACCGCTCCCCGATCCATCACTCCCTTCGGAGGCAGGCAAGGGCTGGTGGATCACGTGAACGGTTTTGAGACAGCCACCACCGCCAGGCTTGCGGAGTGGATGGGCCAGGAGACGGCAGCACAGCAAGTCGGGTGGGGGGGTCTGTGTTGCCGTGACGTAGTGGGAGCGTCATCTCCACGTGTGCACAGTGCGCGTGACGGGTGGTTCCCCGAGGACCTCCAACTTTCATCCCAACACGAAAACCAAAATGACGCGGTACACAAGTCGGTACGCAAACATGCCTACGCACGTGTGCATTTACCGCATGTTGAACTTCCTTTGCACCGTACGTAGCCAACCGTGCTAAACGGAGGTGCATGGATGGTGGAGTGCTGTCCAACATGCGTCTTGCCCTCGTAAGTGTTTATTCGGCAGTCTGGATGAGAACGTGGCAGTGCTGTAGATACGAGCAACAACAACAACCGGTAGCCGCTGGGTGGGACACGTGATCAGGGTGGGGGAGGGAGGTGCCGTTACTGTGACGGGCAGTGGAGTGGTGTCCACGCGCCCGGCGACCAATGGGAAGAGCTATGGCCAAGATGATGGGGTGCTCTTCGGGAAGAGCTTTGTGTCTCCGTGTGAGTCTACGTGTCTCTGTGTGTTTATTATACGTCGCTATACAAGAATATCTAACAGCAGATGGTGAGATACTATCAGGGCAGATCTATTGAGCTATTTGTGAATATATGCATCTCTGTATGAATCTATAGGTCTGTGTGTGAATCCATGTCTCTGTGCGACTCTCTATAAGAGCAGATGATGGGATACTGTCAGGGCAGATCTTGAAGGTTGTTTTATGTTAGTATATGCGTCTCTATGTGAACCAGTGCGTCTCTGTGTGAATCAACGTGTCTCTGTATGAATGCGTTGGTCTTTGCGTGAATCTAAAGGTCTCTGTGTGAGTTTGTCTCAGAGCAGATGGTGAGATTCTGTCAGGGGCGATCTTGCAGTTTGTTATGTGTCTACTGTGCAGCAGCTGTGGGACCTGGCGGAGTCTAAACGCGTTGGTGAGATGAGGTGTGATGATGGCATGGACGCCTGTGGCCACGGTGACACCTTGATCTTGATGCGAGCCAACAGGAATTTGGGCTAGGGGGGGGGGAGGGAGGAAAGATTTTCTCTCGTGTGTGGTTTGCACTTTTTACGCCACCCTATAATCGATGTGACTGCTTTTGTCTCAGTGGAAGCCCCTAAAATAGCAGCACAACTTTTTGCGACGGTTTCATCCGCATTGGATCATGGTCAGAGTGTCCCTTGATTGACCTGTTACAGACAGTGGGACGGAGCTCATCGGTCGGGGCGATCGGTGGACACTTCCCCCACCGGCCCGGTAGATCCACGGTACAGCGAGCGGCTCGCAATCGGAAGGCCACGAGTTCAAATCCTGGATGGGGGTGGTTGACTCAGCCCCATCATCCTTTCAGGGTTGATACGATACAATGACTTTCGCTTTGTGGGAGACGTCAACAAGTAGCTGGCTGTCCTGTGGATGGTGGAAATTCCCGCCGTAGAAATGTGGAATGTCCACCACTGGCTCTCCAGGGCTGCAAACAGAAAATGAGCACCAATGCCTGATTGTTCATTTGAGCAGGGAAATTCACTTTGACTTGGCACCAGAAGCAGACGCACCCCCTCCGACATCACCTGGCTGCCCAGGTGAGCCGCAGGTGTGCGCATGATTCCCAACTCCGCCGATGGTTACACGCGCGGCTCAAGAACTCGCGTTCACCTGGCCCCGTCGATCTTGTTAATTGATCGAGATGATTGCGATCGAGGTCAGTAAGAGGGTTTGGGCGGTCTATTCTCAGAGCGCATAAAGCCAGATTAGCGTCGTGCCGGAATGCATCGTGCCCGGTGGTCTCGCAGAAAGCAAACACGAAAATAAACATTAACGCGCCACCACCACCACCAACACAATCACCACCACCATCGCCAGCACCACCACAATCACCACCACAATCACCACCACCACCATCGCCACCACCACAATCACCACCACCACCACAATCACCACCACCATCGCCACCACCACCACAATCACCACAATCACCGCCACCACCACAATCACCACCACCACCACAATCACCACCACCACCACAATCACCGCCGCCACCACCATCGCCACCACCACCACAATCACCGCCGCCACAATCACCACCACCACCACAATCACCGCCGCCACCACCACCACAATCACCACCAACGCCACCACCGATAACAGTGGCTAATATCTGGACCGGTACTGGGCCTCCCCTATGTCGACTTAATCTAACTCGCTGACCCGCCCTGGCTGGGCATTTGTGAAACGGAGCTTCATAGCTCATCGGATTTCCTTCATCACCGGGGAGACAAAGGCGGTCGGGGCCATCGAGTTGACCGACCTACCCTTGGCCTTCGCCGGCGCTACTGCTCGCTGACGTCACTTGCTCCAACAGTCCGTCCAGGGCGACGCGGGGAGGTGGGCGATGGGGACGATGTCTCTGTCTCTGGCTTGCCTCGTGCGCTGGGCAGGAAAACCCGTACATGTGCAACAGCGAGTGCGACGCAGCCACGCCCGACCTGGCGCACCCCCCGTCGCTGATGTTCGACCTGGAGGGCCGCTCGCCGTCCACGTACTGGCAGAGCGCATCGTGGCGCCGACGCTTCCCCGAGCCGCTGCAGGCCAACCTCACGCTGTCGTGGAACAAGAGCGTGGAGCTCACCGAGGACGTGGTGGTCACGTTCGCGTCGGCGAGGCCCGAGGTGAGCCGGCCGAGAGCCGCGTGGCTCATTCCCATCTCTCACACACCCCCCCCCCCAACCAGCCTCCCACCCACGCACCACCGTTGGCTACGTAGGCTACGAAAGACATTCAACATGCATGACATACTTCTGTGTAGTAATAATTATTGTTATTATAATTTAGTATACCTGCTAATTTGCGCCACCCTTATAGCGCGAGGCTGTCGCGAAAGGAAGACGCGTTTCTTCACGGATGGATGTTTAACTAGCTATTTAACTCTTTTAATTTTTCCAGTTCAGGCCCACTGAGCCGTGTAGCTCTTTTTCAGAAGCGACCTGGCCACAATTGATAGCTCAACGAAGTGGCTTATCATCACGTGGAAATGTATAGCAACCAAATACTCTAAAGGCATGTTTCTGAATGTGGAGCCAAAAATGGGAGGACCTGGAGAACATACAAACTGCAAATATACAGCAGGCGTCAGGGTCGGTATCGAACCCATGACCCTGTAAACCACGTGGTTAACATCTCGCCACCACGGTCGAGACTAATGACACAGCAGAGGCCAAGGCAAGGAATGGGCTCACGTGCAGACGCTAGATAGACTCTCGCGTCGCAGGAACCTTTCATTAGCGGGGTTGGCTACGTACGATGCGAAATAAGTTCAACATACATACACACGTGACATACGGTGGCGACTTAGGGAGGCCTTCATCCAGCAGTGGATAGATCGTGGCGTGCCACAACCGTATTGTTTGTCCTTCACGTTGGACACAATGGCACAGATGCTTCCACCCCAAGGCAGCGCGATATTTATTTTACAATTAAGGTTTTTTTATGTTTTAAGAAGAACAACAAATCACAGAACCACGAGAGAGAGAGAGAGGGAGAGAGAGCAAGAGAGGGAGAGATTATTTTTTAATTGTGTTGCAAGGTTGAACGAAAATGTAATTCTCGAAAAGCCCGGGTGAGTGTCGATTGTTTACGTATATATGGTCCCAGCATGGACATTGACACAAAAATAAAACACGCACACAGACGCGCGCGCGCATCTTAGGACTCATTAACGTTTGAGAGCAACGGCCGTAAACAAGCCGAACAATGGGGGACACTCGGCGTGAACCGAACCGATAGCCGTGAGCATTTACAGCCCCATATCACGAATTTGTGCTCCCAAGGATTCAAAGCAATTTCGGGAGAGAGAGAAAAAATAAAAAGAGAGATAAATTTTTTTAATGACCAACAAATCTGATTGGAAGGACAAATGGACGGGGGAAAATACACACACAGACGCACACCACAAGACACTCACACACACATTTTAACTGCTTCGTGTATGGAAATGAAAGTGATATTTTTGTTGGGTTGGGGCGGGCGGAGGAGAGCTTGGGAGGTAGGTGGGGGGGGGGCACAGAGGGGGGGGGGGCAGTAATATTGAAGGTGGGTGGGGGGGATAGGGGAGGGAGGGATATACATTTTTGCCGTATTCTCCAGATGAAGGCCCACTTTGTTCACCCACCTCCTCCATTTGAAAGCACAACTAGAGAGGGGAGAGTCTCACAACCATCGGGGGAATACGGTAATGCGGCACAACTATGAACGGTGCCGGGGCAGAGGAAGTGAGTGGAATTCGTGGACTGGACTCGGCTCGTATTGGGGTCAAAGGGCCCAACTCACGTTGAAGATTTAATCAGCCGAGAGACGTCTGCTTGGGAACAAATTTTATTTTTGCAAGTTTTTTTACAGGAAGCAGTGATGTGTGGTTAATGCCGGCTTGATGATGATGTCTATTTGGTATTTGAACATGTTCACACCTCCTGTATTCTTGCCGGGAAGTGAAAAGCATATTCTTTTAGTCTCACCATCTTGATACTGGGGGGAAAAAATGCGTCCCAAATATGTATCGCATTTTTAGTTTGACCGACGATTGTTAATCGTGCCCTGACGTCACCCTTCGTGTCGTTTGATTTCAGTCCTCTTTCTTTTTAAAATGGTGTGGTTCGTATTGGTCGTGAGCCTTGAAATAAATGACTCTCTTCATCTCTCTATTTTTTTTGTTGGAATTTGTTCGCACGGAAGAATGTAATTTTAAACGGAGACATTTTGAAAGTAAAGTAGCAAAACGTGCTGTTAGAAGAGTCGCAAAATCCCACGATGTTAGACTTATACAAACGTGTACGTCACATCGATCAGAGTCAAGAACGTCTGCCGTGCTCAGACGACCGTAGCAGTTCCTCAAGCCCATTTCACATTTCTTAGACAACGGTGTAAATTCCACATTCCTATGGCAGAATCCAGTTTATATTATTGCAAGCACACTTAATTTTCACTTTAAAATAATGACTATCTTTGAGAATAGGTTAACCCCTTTTTTCCAGCAACAAACTGAAAGGAATCACGTCTGCATTAACCACAATGAATATATTATCAGAGTATCTTTTTTTGTTTGCATTCTGACCACGAGTAACATCTCAACACCGGTTTTGTTGCCAGAAAAAAGGGGAAAAGCGATTCTCTTATTTTGGTACTGACAAAGGAGGTCCCATGAAATGACGATCTTTATTTAAAAAAAACGTATTGTGAATCCCATTGTCCCGCAACCCTTGATCCGCACCCTCTCCCCGCCCGCCCCCTCCACGTCTCGCCAAAGGTCATGGTGCTGGAGAAGTCGCTGGACTACGGGCGCACGTGGCAGCCGTACCAGTACTACGCCGACGACTGCATCGACGCGTTCGGCATGGAGGCGCAGAACAGCCGCGAGCTGCCGCGCTCCGCCGCCCAGCGCGTCATCTGCACGGAGGAGTACTCGCGCGCGTACGTGTGGGAGGACGCCAAGACGGTGCGCTTCGAGGTGACGGACCGCTACGCGCTGTACGCGGGCGCCGACATGCAGAACCTGGCGTCGCTCTACGGCCGCCTGGACACCAACCGAGGCCTGCGCGACTTCTTCACGCTCACCGACCTGCGCCTGCGGCTGCTGCGCCCCGCGACGGGCGGCGTGGCGGTCGACGCGGCCAACCTCAGCAAGTACTTCTACGCCGTGGCCAACATCCACGTGCGCGGCAGGTGCGTTCGCCCGGCGCTCCGGCGGAACGGCGGCATAGCGGTCGAGGTCCCGCAACGGGTGTCGTTATAGCCGTGGTCGTGGGAATGTGTGTGTGCCTGTATGTATGTCGAATTTCATTCGCACCGTACGCAGCCAACCATGCTATGTTTAAACTTATTTTACGCCGTACGTAGTCAAGCTTTCTGCGTTTTATTTTGAACTTCATTCGCACCGTATTTAGCCAACCGTGCTAATCGGAGGTGCGGGGGGAAGAACAACAACGCTAAACACCAAAAAAGCAGCTCTAAAGAAATACGTTTTAAATCTCGACGATGATTTAAAAGTGCACAGCTCTCAGTGGCTTCCTAATATCGGAAAGGAAGAGCGTTCCAGACGGCCGCAGAAGCGGGAATAAACAGGTGGCGGCAGCCGCTCTCTCATGTCCAGGGTGATTCGACCCTCGATGGAGGAGACCACCAGCGTCCTATCTCGCTCGACCTGGCAGGAGCACGCGTATACTTGTCGTTGCTGTAGTTCTCGATGATCCTCGGGTTAAATTTGATTTTTTTTAAATATATATGAAAACTCCGAGCCAAGGCATCTGTGACGCACGGCCACTTACCCACTCGAGCGTTCACGACGCCGACCGTTGCTTTGTGACGGAGAAGAGTGTTGTGTCGGTGCCGAGATCTTGACGACCTCGCCTGTTCGGCAAGAGGTCGTGGGTGCGATCCCAACCCTGACGGCTGTATATTTGGAGCTTGCATGTCTTGCCCGTGGTCGCGTGGAATTTTTTTCCGGGTCCTCCTGTTGATCCCTCCACGTTTAGAATGAACGTGCGTTTAGAGTATTTGGCTGCTATACATTGCCACATGATAAGCCGCTTCGTTGGGCTATCATTTGTGGCCAGGTCGCTTCTGAAAATAAGCTACGTAGTTCAGTAGGTCTTACCTGGTAAAATAAAAATTGTAGTACAAATAATAGTATCACTCGATGTGGTGTGCCGGTTGCAGACATATTTTATGGGTCACCCAGGAGAGAACACATTTAAATAATAATAATAGTTAACTGTTGTGTTAAGCACATACACATGTACGATCCACATCATTTCCTTTTGAGATGACATTTCTACGTACGTGATAAGCCACTTCGTTGAGCTGTCATATGTAGGCAGGTTGCGTCGGATAGCGAGCCATACAGCCCTTATCTGGTAAAATACAAAAACGAGTGTATTTTAGTTTAGAATGGGCGGCCGGGGTCGTTCTTATCGTCAAGGTCGAGTAAGGTGACAGTCGACGCCGTTGGGAACAGCCCTGGGTAATGTCGCCTGGCTCTAGCGGGCCCCATGACTTGTGCCCGCTGGTCACGGTTTTTCTTAAAAAAAACCCCGCGGTCACTGCGACTTAGCGACGTCACCGTCCACTGCAGCTCACGGTAGGACTCCCCGCAGTGACGCCGCACGCAACCTCCCCCGGCCTTCTCCTCGCCTCTACGCCGAGGCAGCGGCACCGCGGTCACTGCCGGGCGTCGTTTCTCCGCGGCAGCCTCCGCCGTCTGGAACGCGGCCATCGTCGTACCCAGCAGTGGTCGCTCTGACTTCTAAGAGTCGCTGACTTCTAAAAGTCGCTGACTTCTAAGATTCGCTTACGTCTAAGATTTTGACTTAAAACTTTCGTGACTTGCAGGCATTAATATTCTTGGTTCTTTCGGTAAAGTCACGTGGATAGGGAATAAAAATCAAGTAAAATTGCAAGTAAAAATTAGCAATAAGTTTAAAATAATTAAGGCGACAAACCCACGACGTTTCGACCGCTTGTGTTGCGATCAAAACGTCCCGTGGGTTTTTTCGCTTTTGTCATTTAAAATTTATTTTCAAATTTTAATTTAATTTTAATTTCCTATCTACGTGACTTTACCGAAAGGACCAAGAATGTGACTTCTAAGAGTCGCTGACCTATAAGAGTCCCTTCAAGGCCCCACCTCTTTCGCCCGGCTTCCGAGCGACCACAGAGCTTGGCTCCACTCCTCAGAGTCACGGCCACTTACGTCTGTGGAGAACATAAAAATACTCACAATTATTATTGTTGGTGTCGTTACAAGCAGCAGCAGCAGCAGCAGCAAAAAAACAGAGTCTTCTCATCAGAATAAAACATCGCAACTAAGAATCGACCTTCAAAGTTGTGGCTTGGCGGGAGTCGGGTAGGGCAGTGGGGGTGATGGGGGGGGAGCCAAAGTGGGTGAGGGTTAGGAGATTGAGGGGGGGGGGGGCGATGCCAGTAGTAGCCGCATCACCCGCGGGTGCTCGGGAAAAGGCGGCTGACTAAATGGTCCCAAAAGTTTATTTTCAGCGGCGGCGCAAACGGCAATTACAGCGCGGGTTGAAGTGCCCTGGCCTCCGAGCCAGAAGCCGGCTCCAGGGAGGCTCCGAGATTTCCACGGAGGCTGCCGGCCAGGCCCGTAATGGATCAGCGGCTGATGTGGGCAAACATCTGTAATGGGATTAGCCCCAGAGACAAATGAGCGCGGGACGGAGCGAGAGGTGTGAGTGATAATGGCCATAGCATTGCTTCTCACGAAAAGAATAGCCTGGTGAGTGGCGACTGAGGCGCGTGTGTTGTGTGCGTTGGAGGCAGTCGCCCTCGACAACAACTGAGGGCGGAGGAGGGACGCTCACAACAACGAGCGGAGCGCCGGGCGGATAAAATTCAGCGAGTTGGCACAGTGGGGGGCATACGTGGTGCATCGGCCAGTCATCTGAGTCAGTCGACCCAGGACACCTAGGGTCTGTCACCGTGACCTGCTGTCAGCGAGCCGTCGACACTTCACGTGGCCTCGGAGTGCACCTGGCCTGGCACCAGCGCCGTGGTGACGTCACCGCCACGTAGTGTTGTTGTGTGTATTGGTGTTGTGTAGTGCGTGTTGTGTATATTGTTGTTGTGTGTGTTGTGTACATTGTTGTTGTGTGTGTGTTGTGTGTGAATTGTATGTTTGTGTGTGATGTGTGTGCGTGTTGTGTATATTGTTGTTGGTGTGTGTGTGTTGTGTTTATTTTGTATATCCTTGTTGTGTACTGTGTGTGTGTTGTGTGTATTGTTTGTGTGTTGTGTGTCTTATGTGTTGTTGTGTATATTGGTGTTGTTGTGTGTTATGTATATTGCTATTGTGTGTGTTGTTGTGTGTGTGTTGTGTGTGGAGCGTGCCACTAAGCGGTGGGGCCTAACCATCAGCCCGACCAAAACTAAGCACCTGCCTGGGTATTTTGTACCATCGGACACTCCACCCCCACAACTCCCAATCGGTGATGGGGCAGTTGTGGAGAGAGTGGAAAGTTTCCCATACCCGGGCAGTGTGCTTATGACCAGCTCCGGTTTAACAGCAGAGGTCTCACTCCGAATCAGTCGAGCGGCAATATCTTTTCATCGGTTGCGTAACGCTGTGTGGAAGCTACCTGATCTGTCGCTCCGCACGAAGCTTCAGGTCTCCTCGGCCACGGTCATTCCCTCCCTTCTCTACACTTGCGAAGCGTGAACCGCCCTAATGGAGCATCTTCGCCGGTTAAAATCATTGGTGAGCTCCTCCGGCAGGCAAGGCTGCGATGGCTGTGTCATGTAGCCCGCATGCTCGGCCACCGCATGCCTAAACAGCTTTTGTTCAGCCGGATCGAGGGGGCTAAACGGGCGCGGCACGGGAAAGAGAAGAGATGGAGTGATGTGGTACAGGAGGACGTGGAGCTGAGTGGACTTGCCGATGACTGGTACCAGCGGTGTCAAGATCGGCCTCAGTGGAGGAGGCTCGTGAAGGACGCTGCTACTGGGCAGTTGGAGGCAGTCGCCCTCCAACAACAACGGGGGGCGGAGGAGCGACGCTCACAACAACGAGCGGAGCGCCGGGTGGCTAAAGCACAGCAGGTTGGCACAGTAGGGGGCACAGGTGGTGCACCAGCCAGTCATCTCAGTCAGTCAACCCGTGGCACCTGGGTCTGCCCCGTGACCTCCTGCCAGCGGGCGTTCGACACTTCACGTGGCCTCAAGGTGCACATGGCCTGGCACAAGCGTCGTGATGACGTCACCGTCACTTAGTGGCGAATGGCGGTTGTTGTTGTGTTGTGTGTTACTTATGTGTTGTGTGAGTTGTGCGTGTTGTGTTGTGTGGCAGTGTTTGTGACAAAGGCGGCCGGGCGTGGCGATGCCCTTGCCGCCCCTTCGTGCGCCACGAATACCTTCCCGCGACGGTGCCCGCTAGTAGCACTTTGTCTCAATAGCCTATGGCGAGGCCATACGGTGGATCTTTGTCTTTGTGCGTGAGTGTGCATGAGTGTGGTGAGCGGTGATGCAGTGGATTGTGCCCTGCGCTACGTACCGGACGCCTCGTTTGCAGTCGGCGCCACGGCTAACATCAGTGGCTACGAATACCTGAACCGGGCTTGGTTGCCCCTATTTATCAACAAGTACAACATCCCCCCTCCCATACTTAATTATGACATGGTTAGGCCTTCATCCAGCAGTGGATTGACAAATAGCTGTAAATTATTATAAGTCTAGTGAGACATGTCCGTGCACAGACGCACACACACGTGAGCGCGCTCGCCATCTCTCTAAGTAACCCGAGACGCGATCACGTCTCATGCCAGGCGAAGAGCCAGCCAAACACGAAGAGCTCAACGTCGTCAACGCGCTGTTACTACCACGACGACCACCACACACACACAGCTCGCCAAAATACCACAAACGTGGCCCCGACGACATGGCAGCCTGTCTCTTTCCGAATGCCGGTCACTCAGCAGGCGGAACGGATGCGAAGCCGTCAAATTCGATCGAACAGCTTCGTTATGGCGTCCCCTGGCCAGCGCGCGAAACACAACAAACACCGAGAGAAGGCATTAAATCGCCAAACGCGGCCCCTTCCACTCGCGTGGTGGCACCGACCCCCCCCCGCCCCAGGCCTCCGAACGCAAAAAAAAAATTCAAGTCTCCAGAGACTGCACCCGCGATTCCCAAACGGGGGTGTGGGATGGCTCTGTTGATGGCTATTGAATGTGAAGCGGCTTCGTTGTTGCTACCGCTTCTGCTGCCGCTGCTGCTGCACGTGAAGCGATCAACAGGGCATCTCGTAGCGCCGCATGGGTAAATGACTGCGTGACCCTGAGACCCCGGAGGGTGCACGCGAGTCATCATGAAGTCGCCATCACGGGTGGTTGAACGTTCCAAAAACAGTTGTTTGGAGTTTTGGTTGTTACGGATTTTGTTTGTGTTAGCGTTCTGAACTGCAGCGCGCATCGGTTTATTTCTTGAACTGAAAACGTTGGTGCTTCGTAGGTGCTTCGTATGTGCTTCGTATGTGCTTCGTAGGTGCTTCGTAGGTGATTCGTTGGTGCTTCGTAGGTGCTTTGGAGGTGTTTCGCAGGTGCTTCGTAGGTGATTCGTAGGTGCTTCGTATGTGCTTCGTTGGTGCTTCGTAGGTGATTCGTTGGTGCTTCGTAGGTGCTTTGGAGGTGTTTCGCAGATGCTTCGTTGGTGCTTCGTAGCCGATGCAATGGGTCCGCGTTTGTTTATTTGTTTGTTTTGAGTCCGGCCACTCCGGTGGTAGTTTTATAGCCAACATTCTCGTCAATAACCCTCCACCACCCGACGAGGTTGTCACGTTTACACGGGCGTTTTTGTATTGTTATTGATATGTGCCAATTCATCGATCAATACGTTGGCGCGTATTCATGACAAGTGAGTAAAAGTGGCCATCTTGTCACGTGGTGGAGGGGTTAACGACGATACTTTTGGTTTAAAAGCCACGACCAACGCGAAAACAACCGTGGATCATCTTCTATTCACTTCTGTTTTAGTGGAGGGCCATAGAATCGGCACAGTCACGCTGCAATGCGTGTGAAATGTCCACATGGGCGCGGAACTTTTGAAGGCAAGGGTTGATGGATAGCATCGAGACTTGTGGGACTCTGAAGCTCGCTGTTGCTGTGAGGTGGTGGCCAGGCGATGGCAGGACAGCGAGTGGGGCTCACGAGCCTTGAGTGCGATCCCCTTGTATGCTTGGTGACTTTTCTCCTGCAACTGCCGTTGCCTCGTTAGCGCATGCCCATCTTTACCCGGGGCCATCTAGAAATCTTGAGATTCGCGATACCGTGCGTGTTGAATGCCTCGCTCTGCGTTGATGGAAACCAGCCACAAAGATGCCGTATCGCGACTTAAAGTCAACCAAATCGATTTTACTGGGGTCTCCTTTATTTACGTATTCATGGAACGACCTCACTTCACTACGCTCCATCGACCACGGCTTCCTGTCGAAGTCCCCCCCCCCTCCCCACAAGTGGTCAGTGGCTCAGCGGGAGGTCGCTTGCTCTCCTCTGGCATCTTTCGTGCGACGGAACTCCCCCTCCCCCAGCCGTCTGTGCCGTCGACTCGCTGCCCCTGACCGAGTCCAGGATGAGCAGAGCAAACGTGAGCGCCCGAGGAAGCCAGCAGCCAATGGGCAACAGTGCCTGACAAAACCTCGACGCGGAGGGACACTGAGAATAACTCGCGTCTTGGCGCCCCCCCCCCCCCAGCCTCCCCCACCTCCTTCACTTCCTTCCCTACCGCCTCGCTCAACTGCAAGGGGTCTGTCTACCAGTCCACAGTGGGGGAAGAGGTCGGGGGGCGGGGGGGGGAGGAGTCCCATGCGATATTCAACTCTATAATGAATTCTCCCAGCGACGATGGGAAAGGAGACGATGTTTGTGTGTGTCTGTGTGTGTCTGTGTGTGTCTGTGTGTCTGTGAAACTGCATTTTAGGAAAGGGCGGTCCTGCACAGTTGCCATATTTTCTGTCCGTCTGCTACAGCAGAGGTGTAGGGAATTCCAACAAGACCTACATCTCTGCTTTATTGACCTGGTCAAGGCCTATGATACCATCAGTAGGCCTGGGCTCTGGGTTGTTCTTCGTGCTTTTGGAGTCCCTGACCCCATGCTCACGATCATTAAGGACCTTCATGATGGTGAGCGGGCCCGGGTAAAACTACGTGGCCAGGAGTCAGAGCCATTCCCTGTACACCTTGGGGTGCGACAGGGACGTCCTCTGGCTCCCACATTATTTAACATTTATTTTGACCACGTAGTTCGTGAAGCCATCAATAGCTGTACCGGGGGAAACTCCATTTGGTACAGATATAATGGGAGGCTGATCGATGCCCGTTTGCGGTCAAGGGATGGCTCCCTATTGCTTAACCACGTTATGTATGCCGATGATTTGGTAATAGCTGCTCATTCAGAGGAGGAGTTGGAGATGCTGTTGCTGAGACTGGAGCATGCCACTAAGAGATGGGGCCTTACCATCAGCCCCACCAAAACTAAGCACCTGCCTGGGTATTTTGTACCATCGGACACTCCACCCCCACAACTCCCAATCGGTGATGGGGCAGTTGTGGAGAGAGTGGAGAGTTTCCCATACCCGGGCAGTGTGCTTATGACCGGCTCCAGTTTAACAGCAGAGGTCTCACTCCGAATCAATCGAGCGGCAATATCTTTTCATCGGTTGTGTAACACTTTGTGGAAGCTACCTGGTCTGTCGCTCCGCACTAAGCTTCAGGTCTTCTCGGCCACGGTCATTCCCTCCCTTCTCTACGCTTGCGAAACGTGGACCCCCTTAATGGAACATCTTCGCCGGTTAGAAACATTTAGGCTAGCTTGCCTACGATCCATCCTGGGTTTAACCAGGCTAGGTTTAACCTGGCTGGATTTTGTGAGGAGTTCACAAATCCTTGAAAGATCTGGGCAAGGTCCCATCGGTGAGCTCCTCCGGCAGGCAAGGCTGCGTTGGCTGGGTCATGTAGCCCGCATGTCCAGCCACCGTATGCCGACACAGCTTTTGTTCTGCCGGATCGAGGCTGCTAAACGGGCGTGGCACGGGCTAGCGAAGAGATGGAGTGATGTGGTACAGGAGGACGTCGAGCTGATTGGACTTGCCGATGACTGGTACCAGCGGTGTCAAGATCGGCCTCTGTGGAGGAGGCTCGTGAAGGACGCTACTGGGCAGTTGGAGGCAGTCGCCCTCCAACAACAACGGAGGGTGGAGGAGCGATGCTCACAACAACGAGCGGAGCGCCGGGTGGCTAAAGCACAGCAAGTTGGCACAGTAGGGGGCACAGGTGGTGCATCAGCCAGTCATCTCAGTCATCTCAGTCAGTCGACCCGTGGCACCTGGGTCTGCCCCGTGTCCTGCCAGCGGGCGTTCGACACTTCACGTGGCCTCAAGGTGTACGAGCGAGCGGTTGGGTAGCAGTTAGCGCGCTGTGCTACGAACCCCGCGACCCGAGTTTGATTCCCGCTCGCGGCCAACATCAGTGATGATTATCTGAAATGGTCTTGGACCTCCCCTAGGTCGGCTCAGCCTCAATTGAGTACCTGGTGTGGTGTGTAAATATCGCCATTGGGGAGACAAAGGCAGCCGTGGGTGGTGTTGCCCATCTCGTGTGCCGTGCCGGCCTTCATAGGCGCTGCTCGCTAGCAGCGCTTGCCCCAACGGTCTGTCGAAGGCTACCACGTGGGGCGGGGGGGATCTTCTTTGTCCTTTGCGGCGCGCGCAGGTGCAAGTGCAACCTGCACTCCAACACGTGCCTCTTCAACGACGGGCGCCTCGCGTGCGACTGCGAGCACAACACCATGGGGCCCGACTGCAGCCGCTGCAAGAAGGGATTCCGCGGCGGCGCGTGGAGGCCGGGCTCCTACCTGCCCTACCCATCGGGCACCGCCAACCCGTGTGGGTGCCCGCACGGCGCACCGCGCCCGCTGCCCGCAGCGGGCGGCGGCTGTCCCGAGCAGCCTCGACGGACTGTTGAGGCTGCGCGGGACACGCCGGTGCAAGCACACACACGCACACTCACACACACGTGGGTACACGCATGGAGATGATATATATATGGACACGTGGACACAAAGACTAAGATGTCCCGTACAGCCCCGACAGGCTTCTGGGTAACCCGAGCATGCACAAACGTACGCCAGTGCAAACACACGAAACTCAACTAACGAAAACATTTTTTTTTAGTTTATTTTACCAGGTAAGGCCCACTGAGCTCTATAGCGCTGTTTAATAAGCACCCTGGTCACAAATGATACCTTAGGGAAGTTGCTTATCACGTGGATATTTCGAGCAGCCAAATACTTTCAACGCGTTTTGGTTCTAAATGTGAAGGGAAAAAACCAGGGGATCCGGAGAAAAATCCACGTGTCCAAGGGTAGAGAGACACGCAGACTCCAAATATACAGCAGGCATAAGGGTTGGGATCAAACCACGACTCGTGTGGACAAGTCGAGGTAGTTAACATCTCGCCACCGTGGCACGGGCACACTCATGGAGATATGCAGATACAGGGTGCTTCAAAAAAATGTGAACACTTCCGAGAATGTTCAACAACACCACGTGACATGTGCTGCTGCCTCTGGGCTCTGGAGAGCACCTGGAGAAGATTCCAGGCCACGTGTTGACAACGATGGCGAACAAGTGGGAGACTCTTTGACCTTTTGAAGCTATTAACATTACATTTGTTATCACGTTACAGTGTGTATATATATTATCCGTTCTTTTTACGTAAAAAATGATAGTCCCATATCAGTGTTAACATTCTTTTTGGGAATACCCTATACGTACACACACGTGGAGGCACAACGACAAAGATCTCCCAGCCCCGTATATCCATAACAGACTGTCGAGGTAAGTGCTGTTAGCGAGCACCTATTAAGACCCGCGTGGCACACGAGGCGGTGGGTGGCCAGCACCACACCCGGCCGCCTTTGCCTCCCCAGTGATGATACTTACGCACCGCATCAGGTACTAATTTGAGGCTGCGTTAACCTACGGGGGGCCCGGAATCTGCTCAAATATTTGCCGCTGTTGTTTTTCGTGAGCGGGAATCAACCTCGGGTGTCTGCCGGTGGTTAACTCATCACACCGTTCACCTATAAACAAATGTCCCTGTGCAGCGTCCATGCCACCATGTAAACATTCAAACTCATGCCCCCATCTGCCCCCCCCGCCTCTCTCTGCCCGTGTCGCTTTTTCTGCAGGCACCGCTTCCGTGTCCAGCCCCGCGAGTGAGTACGCTCCGACGGAAAACGGGGGAGGGGGCGGGTAGAGGGGGGGGGGCACGTGAGACGTTTAATTTATGACTTTCACATTTCCGACACCGCAGATAGACGACGTTAACATGACGGCGCGCTCACGTGGGCTGAGCTCACTGACGACGGCTGCCATTATGACGAGCGCGGTGGTCATGTGACCGTCCGTCATTCGCCATAGACCACACTTGAGATTCACATTTAAGATCTTAATTGCAATAATGTTTTAGAGAATGACTGTAATAATTTTCATTTTTCATTGCTATTGATGCCCGTTTCATGTTAGATGCATTTCTTAATTGATGTGTGAACAATAACAAATCTGTGATGCTGCCACTGCTGCTACAACTGCTGTGTTTGGGTGTGGTGCACAATCACAGCCAATAACAACAACGACTCAACTCGTTCCGCCTCAGTAGCACTGTCCTAACATTCTAGCCGGACACAAATGCTGGCCGGATTATGTTGGAAAGCTAAGAGGCCAATGGGCTGAAAAAAAGTACTTTTAATTTTGCGGAAATTCATGGAGCTGCTGCACGTGAGCTGATTTAATCGCTCCGAGCCTGCAATGGACGTCCTCTCGGCCGTCTTTGTCTCCTTTGAATGCCACTCCGTCGCTAGTCTCGACCACAGGCCATAGTCCCTTTGTAGCCGTGACATATTCAACCAAGGAGCACTCCTTTTTTATATATAACTGTATGAATGGTGTCTTTATAATAATTTCTAACAAATGCTGGCTGATTTATATTTATCTGGAAAGCCAATAGGTACAAGGACACAATGAAATAAATGTGTACGTGGAGGTCTGCTTATTTGAAACATGACAATTGTCATGGGACCTTTTTTTGCGAGTATCAAAGTATGCAAAATAAGAAGAAGTTTTACCTTTCCTGGCAATACAACGGGAGATGTTAAGATGTTCAAACGCCAAATAGAAACATTCTTGCCAGGAATCAAGTTACTGCATTAACCACACACAGTACTTGTGGTGAGCATGCAGACGCAACGATTGCATAAATGTGTTGCTGTGTCGCCAACGCTGCTGCTGCTGCTGCTAACTCCCAGCTGTGCCGAAGCCGGTCAAAGCTTCGGCAGCAGAGGTCCCCAAAGTCGTCGCTAAAAACACTCCAAAGCCCCCGCCAAAAACCACGCCAGGTACCCCACGGGCACAGAGCCACGGAGATTGACTCGCTCCTCGGCCACGTTGGCCACAGTCCTGGCGAAACGGCCGAATCGCATCACACCACACCTCGGATTGCCACCTCTGAGATCCACGTAACATGGGGGGGGGGGGGGGGGGGGGGGGGGGAGGGGGGGGAGAAATAGAATGAAAACTCGCGATACGGTGGGATTGTCCTGAGTGGCGTTGCAGTGTTGTTGTTGTTGTTATGACACAACTGACAAAAAACGGGTGTACTGCTGCCACACTGGCAGTGAAGCGCAATTAACCAAACCACTCAGCACACTCGTCAAAAACACGGTGACCTTCAAATAAATAATAACATAGAATCTGTGTTGTTTTGGGACAATGGCTCTTCTGAAGAGCACACCAACAATGTGCCGAGTTTTTCTTTGAAAAAAAAAAGAACCGGGACTGTTCTTAATATTCCGAGAGAGACAGATTCTCCCTGGACGGCGGCTACCATCTCAAATGCACACGTTGCCTGTCGAAGAGAAAATTATTGTGGGGAGAGAGAAAAAAACCCGGCACAGGTGGCAACCCGAATCTCATCACCGCATGGGCGGTGCTGATGACGGTGATGATGGTGGAGATATCGGAACGATTTTGTCCAAAGAAAATACGAAAATGAATATTTGCCAAAAATGTGAATTGCCCTCTTGCTCCCTTCTAGAACCTGCCAGCCTCATGGGCTATGAATGATATTGGCACCCCCCCCCCCCCCGACGGAAATAGTTTCTTCCACACCTGTGCCACCGTGTACTCTTGAAGCTCTCAGGGTTTGGAGCAAACCACCTCTTTTATAGGAGAGGGGGAGGGGAGAGTTTGAAATTGATTTAACGTTAATGCTGTCCTGTGGGGCTGGCGGGTGTAGTGTAGCATCGTAGACGTAATCGCGGCGCATCAAGATTCAACGGAATGCGCCACCTGTCGTTAGATAATTGTGATTGCGTCTGCTTCTCGCTGTGTTCTCGTATCGAGTTCTTCAATTATAATTAAAAGTGGTGACCGGGTGGCTTCGAGGTCAGAGAGCGCTGAGCTGGCACCACTGAGACACTGGGCTCGAATCCAAGCAGCCGTCTGTGATTAAACCGGGATGCCCGGTCACGCATCACATTAACATTTAATCTGCAGTTAATTTGGCTAAATTACTGCTCTAATAATTAAAAATGTCAGATTTACCGTCACGCAAAAGAAACCTACTCTCATATACAGAACGAATGGGAAGTGCTGCCCACTACGTGAACCAGGCGTCACTAGAAGGAATCTCTGTTGTAACTCAGTGATGTCCGCTTCCGTGGGCTGTTCTCGAACGTGAAGGGACGCACTGCTCTGCCAGAGATCCGAATCGACTCTTCGCCTCGTGACGCGACGCAGATTGCGTGATCGGAATAACATTGGGGGAAAGGACAAACATGAATTAAGGTTATAATAAAATACCAAAAATAACAAGGCTGGTCTCGCTCTAAACTTATGAACACAAGGTCGCGGACTCTAATTTTGGTCAGGATCAACTCGGCCCGATCGATCGGCACGCTCGTTAAATAACGCAATTCGTGTTGCGTGAGTCGACATGGGCAGATTATTTCGTAGACTAAGCAGAGTACAATTACACAATCCATTTCCATAAATATAAAAAAAGAGAGAGGGGGTTGCTATTGCACTGATACGTAAAGAGACGAGGATACACGAGGCGAATGCATTTGCACGTTATCACCGGGGTGGTAGATCTGTGGCTTGCGAGCAGTGGGGGAGATTGACGGGTTACAGGAATTCTGGGCCCGAAGCTGAGTGGGTTGTGCATTGAGACCCAGCCCTTGGGCTAATCGCCGTATTCGCGGTTTGTTTTCGTATTGATTTTATTTTTTATTTTTGTCGTAGAATTCCAGGATCGGTCGATTGGCCACCAGTGACTCGCAAAGATCTTGTGAATAAATATCGAGGCGCACTTCACCACATGGCTTGGATATTGGGGTTTGCGGTCTTACCATCCTTCATTCTGTAAGAGAGACAGTGTTTGTAGAATAGCATAACAATTTGGCTTCGTAATTATATCTGCATTTAGCTGACTTTGCTGAGACTCCGAGTTCAAATGTGAGTTTCAGCCGCCTCTAATGAAGCAAATCATTGTTCTCAAGCCTCGCGAATTCATTATCTCAACCAGGACACCAATGACTGCTATAACAACAAACACTGAATCAGATAAAATTTTACAAATTTTAGGAAAACCATCACAACTGCAGTGGCGGTTTCTTGAAGTATGTATGCATGTTGAACTCCTTTCGCACCGTGTGTAGCTCATCGTGGTGGTCACTGCATCGCGCTCTTTCAGATGCGCTTCAGCGACCGTCTGGAACGCTCTCCCTTCCGATATTAGGAAGCCACCGGGAGCTAGGCACTGTTAAATCTAGATTGAAAACTAAATTCTATAGAACTGCATTCTGTGTTCAGTTTGTTGCCCTTCCTCCGCACCTCCGAGTAGCACGTTTGGCTACGTACGGTGCGACAACAGTTCAATAAACATACACGCAAGGACGGAAGTCAATTTTGAGCTGAAGCCCTCGAGGTTTGAGGCCGGCGGGACTTTGCCGATCTCGCGCCCGGTGCACTCGGCCGCCGGTTGAGCCGCGGCCTCGCCCGTCGTGGTTGGGGCACTGCCGTCACCGCACGCTCTCTCTCTCTGTCTCTCTCTCTCTCCCGCAACCCTCTATGTCTCTCTTTCTCTATCTCTCCCTCACCCTCTCTCTCTCTCTCTCTCCCGCACCCTCTCTGTCTCTCTCTCTCTCCCGCACCCTCTGTCTGTCTCTCCCGCACCCCGCCTCCCGCCGGCGGCTCGTAGTGGCCCCCAAGGCCGACCGCGTGTCGGCGATCCAGCCGGATCCGGCACCCGCGCCGCCACCGCCGCCACCTCCGGCCGCGGCGCTTCCTGCACCACCGGCTCCAGCCCCCAAGCCAAAATCCAAGCCAGGTACGGGCTGGGATAGAGAGAGAGGCGTGGCGCGTCGCCCGGCGTACCAGAAGGGAGATGTACGGAGAGACAGGCCTTACCCCCACCTCCCTTTGCGACACTTACCGTGAGACAGCCCTGTGGTGTTCATCGCAAGGCCCGCGGGTCACTGGCAGCCCCCGGGGGCTCCTTACGCGTGCTCCCCCCCCCACCCCCCGTTAATACACAAATGGTGAAACCATCCCCCAATCATTATCGTGCAGCTATCAAACCCCCAATGGTTTCAAATGTGTGGCAGCCCTCACACTGATGATGTCTTTCCGGCACTCATACTGATGATGTCTTATCGGCGACAGTGCCCCCCTCACTCCCGCCCCCCCCCCCTTCTCTGAGAATGAGCGAAGAACGCTGGGATAGCGCATTGAGAGTGGGCGAAGGGCGAAATGAACAAATAGCAAATACATTATCTGAACATGCCGAAGAAGACGAGAGATTAAACATGTAGACAGATGTTGTTATTCTTCTTATTAAAACAATGCAACAATATTATTATTCTATTATTATTAGTAGTAGTAAATACACTCAGGCGTCACAGCCTTTGCGCTGGTGGGCGAGCGGATAGCGCGAGGGCGCCTCCCAGTGGTGGCGCGGTCGCCGCCTGCTGCCCGCGGTTCTCGGTTCGAATCGAGCGGCCGCCCCGGTGCAATAGCGCGGCGGTTGTGAAATGGTAAACCGCGTGCCCTCTGCGTCACAGCGGACGTGCGATAGCCCGGGGAGGTCGGTCGCACGAGTAGGCCATTGTGGGCGTATGTCACGGCCAACATTTGATAAACTAATCACGGATTAATTTATTAATTTGGATGACACATGAGCAATCATCCTCCTCCCCCTCCCCCCCGCATATTGCGTCAACAAAACGTGAACATGGAGATTAGTGCACGGCTTGGGCTCCATCAGCTCCAGGTACAGATTTTCTGTAATCCGTAAATTTCAGTGAACAATATATTTCCCAGCTTAATTCGCGATACCACTGCGTGTTTTTCTTCTGCGGTTGTGCTAGAGAGCTCTTTCGATGTGAATTGTACAGCGCCTGAATTGAGTACTCAGTTCTTGGAGAAGCTCCTGGCACGTGGTTCGAAACGTCGGACATGGCGGTACAAGCCCGAAAACGTGGCGGAGAGCTAATTGAACCTCGTGTGTATGTGCTTGTTTATTTAATTTTTATCCCGACCGCCGCTGTGCGATGAACATTGCCCGAATAACCAAGCGTCGTCTGCACTCGTACAAAAAAGTAAATCCTAATTAATTAATTGCTTAATTATATATTTTTAATGAGTGCAATGTTTTCTCTCTTTGGGTGGGCGGGGTGGAGGGGTGGTCGCGCTGTCAAACCGCATCGCGCTTATCGACGGTGCGATCAATGTCAGGCCGCCCCTGAGATCGGGCGCTTTCATTCGGGCTGTGTCCTGACCCCGGGGGGGGAAGGGGGGGGTAATGGTGGGGGGGGGGGGGGGGGGGGGGTTAATGAGAGGAAGGGAGCTGAGAAGAGTAAAACTGTCTTTGCAAAGCGCGACCCGGGTCAGGCTAATGAGAGTGAGAGGGGGGTCGCAGGTCAATGATATTCGTTGTAATCCCTGCACTTTGCACCGTAGTAATAATAATAGTTACCCATTTATAAGGCACATATCATCGGTAGATACCATTGTGCCGTGTATGTAAATCAGGAAATAAACAGAACCTGCGGGGTAAATGGCCAGAACTAGGGGGTAAAGGCCAATTAACAGACGTGAGTTTTCAAGACAGACTTAAATATAGCTAACGACTCTGACTGTCCTTACTGACGAAGGCGAAGCGGCACTGGAAGAAAAATAAACCACCGATCACCCCTGCAGGAACCCAGTCGTGACCTCGGAGTCCTTAAGAAGAAGGCGATCCGGTGATCTCAGGGACCTCGTTTGGTGTATAAAGATGCAGTCGGTTCCTGTAAATATTGCGGGGGGGGGGGGGGTGGTGGTCACGCCGTATTCTGCTCATGAGAAAACCGTCCCGTAAATTGTTTGCAACGCGGCGAGGGACGGGACGCTGCCGAGCGAGGCGTCTTCTCTCGGGCCTCGGCCTCGATCAGTCTGCCGGGACTGCCGGCAACCGGCGTCGCGATTTTCTCGGCGAAGTTTCGGAAGTTGTCGGTCACGGGCAACGAGTCGCTAATTGTGGGCGGAGAGCGCGCCGCTTTTCTCTCGATGGGCTCGGGGGTCGGCGTGGCGGGGAGACTTCGTGGAGTGTCTCACGGTTGCGTGCAGAGGCCACCGGCGTGCGTGCGTGCGTGTGTCTGTGTGCGTGTCTGTGCACGTGCGTGTGTCTGTGTGCGTGTCTGTGCACGTGCGTGTGTCTGTGTGCGTGTCTGTGCACGTGCGTGTGTCTGTGTGCGTGTCTGTGCACGTGCGTGTGTCTGTGTGCGTGTCTGTGCACGTGCGTGTGTCTGTGTGCGTGTCTGTGCACGTGCGTGTGTCTGTGTGCGTGTCTGTGCACGTGCGTGTGTCTGTGTGCGTGTCTGTGCACGTGCGTGTGTCTGTGTGCGTGTCTGTGCACGTGCGTGTGTCTGTGTGCGTGTCTGTGCACGTGCGTGTGTCTGTGTGCGTGTCTGTGCACGTGCGTGTGTCTGTGTGCGTGTCTGTGTACGTGCGTGTGTCTGTGTGCGTGTCTGTGCACGTGCGTGTGTCTGTGTGCGTGTCTGTGCACGTGCGTGTGTCTGTGTGCGTGTCTGTGCACGTGCGTGTGTCTGTGTGCGTGTCTGTGCACGTGCGTGTGTCTATGTGCGTGTCTGTGCACGTGCGTGTGTCTGTGTGCGTGTCTGTGCACGTGCATGTGTCTGTGTGCGTGTTTGTGCACGTGCGTGTGTCTGTGTGCGTGTCTATGCACGTGTGTGTGTCTGTGTGCGTGTCTGTGCACGTGCGTGTGTCTGTGTGCTTGTCTGTGCACGTGCGTGTGTCTGTGTGCTTGTGCGCGACCCGAGTTCGATTCCCGCCCGCGGCCAACACCAGTGACGATTATGTGAACCGGTCCCCTGCCTCTCCAAGGTCCACTCAGCCTCAATTGAGGACCTAACGTGGTGTGTAAACAACGGCAGTCGGGCAGACAGACACGGGCCAGGCTCGGCTGGCCACGCTCTTCATCACGTGCGCCGTTTCGGCCTTCATAGGTGCTCACCAACAACGCTGGCTCTATGGGGGGGGGGGACCTTTATCTTTGCTTGCTCGGGGCGGTGAGTCGAGTTGGTGTGGGCGGGTGAGCGAGCCAGCAGCGTCCGCCCCACGTTAAGACGCGCGCGTGCGAGCAAGAGGCGAGTGTTTTGTGAGACCAAGTGTGAAATGAATGGAGGGCCGATTGAAAGTGACGGCCTAACAGAGATGAGTGGACTCAGCCGTAACCCAGATTACAGCGCCGGGGCTGCGGGAGGGGGGTGGAGGGGTGGTGGAAGGTAGCCACCCCAACACACACACACAGTCTTATTGTCTTGACACACACACACACACAGTCTTGTTGTCTTGACACACACACACAGTCTTGTTGTCTTGACACACACACACACACAGTCTTGTTGTCTTGACACACACACACAGCCTTGTTGTCTTGACACACACACACACAGCCTTGTTGTCTTGACACACACACACACACAGCCGTGTCTTGTTGTCTTGACACACACACACACAGCCCTGTCTTGTTGTCTTGACACACACACACACACAGTCTTGTTGTCTTGACACACACACACACAGCCTTGTTGTCTTGACACACACACACACAGCCTTGTCTTGTTGTCTTGACACACACACACAGCCTTGTCTTGTTGTCTTGACACACACACAGCCCTGTCTTGTTGTCTTGACACACACACACAGCCCTGTCTTGTTGTCTTGACACACACACACACACAGCCTTGCCTTGTTGTCTTGACACACACACACAGCCCTGTCTTGTTGTCTTGACACACACACAGCCCTGTCTTGTTGTCTTGACACACACACACACAGCCCTGTCTTGTTGTCTTGACACACACACACACAGCCCTGTCTTGTTGTCTTGACACACACACACAGCCCTGTCTTGTTGTCTTGACACACACACACAGCCCTGTCTTGTTGTCTTGACACACACACACACAGCCCTGTCTTGTTGTCTTGACACACACACACACACAGCCCTGTCTTGTTGTCTTGACACACACACCCAGCCCTGTCTTGTTGTCTTGACACACACACACAGCCCTGTCTTGTTGTCTTGACACACACACACAGCCCTGTCTTATTGTCTTGACACACACACACACAGCCCTGTCTTGTTGTCTTGACACACACACACAGCCCTGTCTTATTGTCTTGACACACACACACACAGCCCTGTCTTGTTGTCTTGACACACACACACACAGCCCTGTCTTGTTGTCTTGACACACACAGCCCTGTCTTGTTGTCTTGACACACACACACACACAGCCTTTGTCTTGTTGTCTTGACACACACACACAGCCCTGTCTTGTTCTCTTGACACACACACACACACAGCCCTGTCTTGTTCTCTTGACACACACACACACACAGCCTTGCCTTGTTGTCTTGACACACACACACAGCCCTGTCTTGTTGTCTTGACACACACACAGCCCTGTCTTGTTGTCTTGACACACACACACACAGCCCTGTCTTGTTGTCTTGACACACACACACACAGCCCTGTCTTGTTGTCTTGACACACACACACAGCCCTGTCTTGTTGTCTTGACACACACACACAGCCCTGTCTTGTTGTCTTGACACACACACACACAGCCCTGTCTTGTTGTCTTGACACACACACACACACAGCCCTGTCTTGTTGTCTTGACACACACACCCAGCCCTGTCTTGTTGTCTTGACACACACACACAGCCCTGTCTTGTTGTCTTGACACACACACACACAGCCTTGTTGTCTTGACACACACACACAGCCCTGTCTTGTTGTCTTGACACACACACACACAGCCCTGTCTTGTTGTCTTGACACACACACACACACAGCCCTGTCTTGTTGTCTTGACACACACACACAGCCCTGTCTTATTGTCTTGACACACACACACACACAGCCCTGTCTTGTTGTCTTGACACACACACACAGCCCTGTCTTATTGTCTTGACACACACACACACAGCCCTGTCTTGTTGTCTTGACACACACACACACAGCCCTGTCTTGTTGTCTTGACACACACAGCCCTGTCTTGTTGTCTTGACACACACACACACAGCCTTTGTCTTGTTGTCTTGACACACACACACAGCCCTGTCTTGTTCTCTTGACACACACACACACAGCCCTGTCTTGTTCTCTTGACACACACACACACACAGCCTTGCCTTGTTGTCTTGACACACACACACAGCCCTGTCTTGTTGTCTTGACACACACACAGCCCTGTCTTGTTGTCTTGACACACACACACACAGCCCTGTCTTGTTGTCTTGACACACACACACACAGCCCTGTCTTGTTGTCTTGACACACACACACAGCCCTGTCTTGTTGTCTTGACACACACACACAGCCCTGTCTTGTTGTCTTGACACACACACACACAGCCCTGTCTTGTTGTCTTGACACACACACACACACAGCCCTGTCTTGTTGTCTTGACACACACACCCAGCCCTGTTTTGTTGTCTTGACACACACACACAGCCCTGTCTTGTTGTCTTGACACACACACACACAGCCTTGTTGTCTTGACACACACACACAGCCCTGTCTTGTTGTCTTGACACACACACACACACAGCCCTGTCTTGTTGTCTTGACACACACACACAGCCCTGTCTTGTTGTCTTGACACACACACACACAGCCCTGTCTTGTTGTCTTGACACACACACACACAGCCCTGTCTTGTTGTCTTGACACACACACACACACAGCCCTGTCTTGTTGTCTTGACACACACACACAGCCCTGTCTTATTGTCTTGACACACACACACACAGCCCTGTCTTGTTGTCTTGACACACACACACAGCCCTGTCTTATTGTCTTGACACACACACACACAGCCCTGTCTTGTTGTCTTGACACACACACACACAGCCCTGTCTTGTTGTCTTGACACACACAGCCCTGTCTTGTTGTCTTGACACACACACACACACAGCCTTTGTCTTGTTGTCTTGACACACACACACAGCCCTGTCTTGTTCTCTTGACACACACACACACACAGCCCTGTCTTGTTCTCTTGACACACACACACACAGCCCTGTCTTGTTGTCTTGACACACACACACACAGCCCTGTCTTGTTCTCTTGACACACACACACAGCCCTGTCTTGTTCTCTTGACACACACACACACACACAGCCCTGTCTTGTTGTCTTGACACACACACACAGCCTTGTTTTGTTGTCTTGACACACACACACAAAGCCCTGTCTTGTTCTCTTGACACACACACACACAGCCCTGTCTTGTTGTCTTGACACACACACACACAGCCCTGTCTTGTTGTCTTGACACACACACACAGCCCTGTCTTGTTGTCTTGACACACACACACAGCCATGTCTTGTTGTCTTGACACACACACACACAGCCCTGTCTTGTTGTCTTGACACACACACACAGCCCTGTCTTGTTGTCTTGACACACACACACACACAGCCCTGTCTTGTTGTCTTGACACACACACACACACAGCCCTGTCTTGTTGTCTTGACACACACACACAGCCCTGTCTTGTTGTCTTGACACACACACACACGGCTCCTGTCTTGTTGTCTTGACACACACACACACACAGCCCTGTCTTGTTGTCTTGACACACACACACACACAGCCCTGTCTTGTCTTGACACACACACACAGCCTTGTCTTGTTGTCTTGACACACACACACACACAGCCCTGTCTTGTCTTGACACACACACACAGCCTTGTCTTGTTGTCTTGACACACACACACACAGCCCTGTCTTGTTCTCTTGACACACACACACACAGCCTTGTCTTGTTGTCTTGACACACACACACACATGGCTCCTGTCTTGTTGTCTTGACACACACACACAGCCCTGTCTTGTTGTCTTGACACACACACACACACAGCCCTGTCTTGTTGTCTTGACACACACACACACAGCCCTGTCTTGTTGTCTTGACACACACACACATGGCTCCTGTCTTGTTGTCTTGACACACACACACAGCCCTGTCTTGTCTTGACACACACACACATGGCTCCTGTCTTGTTGTCTTGACACACACACACAGCCTTGCCTTGTTGTCTTGACACACACACACACACAGCCCTGTCTTGTTGTCTTGACACACACACACACATGGCTCCTGTCTTGTTGTCTTGACACACACACACACAGCCCTGTCTTGTTGTCTTGACACACACACACACACGCGTGCGCGCAGACTTTTCTCGTAAGGGTAAAGGGACCTCGGAGGTAGTTCTGTGGTGACCCCTTCTGCGGCCCGTTCCCTCTAACACGGAGGATTGCGCTGTTGTGCGAGATTCCTGAACTGATTCCTGAACTGATTCTTCATCTCGCGAGCTGACCACACTTGTGCATTGAAGATGAAACAGATCACACTTGTGCATTGAAGATGGCACCTCAACAATTCTCAACAATCAGTGCCGAATGTAATTAGACAGTAATTAGGCAGTATAGAAGGACATGATATTTCCCGCACCTCCGATTAGCACGGTTGTCTAGGTACGGTGCGAAAGAAGTTCAACACACGTGCGTACAATAATTTGAGAGATACCTTGTAGAATAGTGATCGGGCAGCTGTTTGATGGCTGTTGGTATTGTTGTTGTTGATCCGTGTTTAAGTTTGTTGTTGTTGTTGTTGTTTTTTGTTGCCATTGTTGTTTGCTGACGTCATGTGTTGCTATTTTCGCTTCTTCTTGTATGTATTCTGAACCTCTTCTTTGGTTCTTTCGGTAAAGTCACGTAGAATGAGAATAAAATAATAAATTGATAAAATAAAATAACACAATAAAATTCTCACGACGTTTCGGCCACAACACAAGCGGCCTTCGTCAGGTGAAGGGACGAGACTGTCTGGAGGACAGCGCTGGAGCGAACAAAGCCACGCTCAGATCGCGACCTTTTGCTAAAGTTGAGGCTTAAAGGTCGCGATCTGAGCGTGGCTTTGTTCGCTCCAGCGCTGTCCTCCAGACAGTCTCGTCCCTTCACCTGATGAAGGCCGCTTGTGTTGTGGCCGAAACGTCGTGAGAATTTTATTGTGTTATTTTATTTTATCAATTTATTATTTTATTCTCATTCTACGTGGTGACTTTACCGAAAGAACCAAAGAAGATGAATCCTTGCAGTCACGAAAGCTTTAAATCGAAATATTCTGAACCTCTTTCGCGCCGTACGTAGCCAACCGCTCTTGTTGTTCAAATCGTCACCGTTGGTGGTGTCGATTGTTGTTGTTATCAATGGTGTTGCGTCATGGCTGTTTGTTGTTATTGTTGTTGGTGGTGTTGTTATTTAGCTGCCCCAAAGGCCGATGCCCCACGGCCACCCAGCATCCTGGCGGAGGAGATGTACGACGACAATCCAGGTGACTCGCGCCGTTCCCACACACACGGAGACACAAACACCCCGCCTGTAGCCTGTCAGCAGACTGTTGGGGCAAGTGCCGTGAGCGAGTAGCACCTCTGAAGGCCGGCACGGCACACGAGGGGGATGGGTGGCCAGCACCACGCCCGGTCGCCTTCGTCTCCCTGCACACTACACGAGGTCAACCTGAGAACAATGACCATTCACTGACCTCACCGTCGACGACGGTGAGGTCAGTGAGGCTAGGGTCAGGTTTAGTTTGTTAGAGTTAGGGGTAGGGCTAGTACGAGTGGCTTATGGGGGTGAAGGGGGGGGTAAGGGAGGGGGGAAGGCGGTGAAAGGTGGGGGGGATGGTCCAGAAATGTCAAGCTTTTTAAACAGGGCCCACCATGAATACTATCTAAATATTCAACGTAACTTATCTCAGCTACATATCAATAGAATACTTAATGTTCGACGGGGTTCAATTGCATGTCACGTAAGTAGCGCGGCACGGCTCCGTTCCCGCAGTGGAAAAAAAAAAAACTTGGAGCCATCGGAGCCGGGCCAGGCCGGATCGGAACGCCCCCCCCCCCCCCCTCCCGGTGCAACCCGATAACGCATCGCGCCCCCCCCCCCTCCCCCCTTCCTCTCGGATCTTCCGCACGGCTCGGGATAATCCCACACGTCGGCCGTGGCCATTAGAGCTAATTGACGAGCTAATTAATTACGCTACGTTCAAATTCGCGTTAACCCTAAATGTGGAGGCGCGGGAGACGTTCCCGCTGGGTCCCTGCCGTCGCGATTCCCCGTGATTAAGGAGCGGTTCCGTCTGCTTGCAAGGAACGTGGCCGCGCCCCTTCAAGCAACGTTACAGTGTCCGCGATTAATTGGGTGTGAGACATTAATTGCCCGATGGCCGACACCTGTTAATTATGGGGAATGTGCCACGCTCGTTGTGTTCGCGTTACGGAATGCACCATGTCAGAGTGTGAGGTTAATTGAGGTGGTGGTGGTGACACCAGCGGTGTGGGTTTGTAATCCAGAGGATGTCCGGCGTTTGGGCCGATCACGGTTTATGAGGATGCTATAGGTCAGGTCACAGAGGCCAGCTGGCATAGATGAGAGGGTTCAGGTTGCAGTGAGTGGTTAACGCACTCCGCTAGGAACCCGGCGACGTGAGTTTGATTCCGGGCCACGGCTGACATGAGATGGCGAGTGGCGTTTGAAGCGGTCAAGGGCAACTCACAACATTTCACGAAGCGCGCGACTGACCAGGGTGATTCCGTGTGATCAAACAACCCCCAAAGACAACGTACGTCGCAGTTGCGTAGCGCAGTTGCACCGTCTGCACATTTGACAGCCGCGCAACTTTCATGCGTAGGCGGAACGGTTTGGTTTGTGCAGTGGGGTGGTGTGGGGGGACAACAAGGGAGATACGCGAGCTGAATTTGCGTGACCAAACTAAACCGATTTCCTCCCGATCCTCCCCCGTCTACCCCCGCGTGTCACGCCACCGCCACCACCGCCGCCGACGGCGCTGCGACAGAGTGCCAGTGCTACGGCCACTCGAACCGCTGCAGCTTCATCGAGCTGCTGAGCGCGGTGACGTGCGTGAGCTGCAAGCACAACACGCGGGGCCAGCGCTGCCAGTACTGCCGCCCGGGGCACTATCGCAACGCGTCGCTCCCGCTCAGCGACGAGAACGTGTGCATCGGTCAGTTTACCCCACACCCACCACACCCCCTCCCACCACCACGGGTTCGTGGACTCTCTTAATCCGCTACCTGCGCAACCGGGGTCGTGCCCAGCCAGCCCGGCGTGGGCTCTGGTGGCGCCCGGTGTGTTTTTTTTCCAGTGGAGACGCCGAGCCGTGCCGTGCCGCTCACGTGACACGCAACGAAGAGGGTCGAGGCGCGTGCAGTCGACGTGGCGACGCTTTGTCCTTTACAGAGTTTTCTGGCTTTGACCACCTGAATGTTTAATTGTAGTTCGTGCTCTGCATCTACATTAGCCACACTGACGTCGTGCGCAATTACGTTTGTGATTTGCCCAACTCCCTGGCCCTGCTTGGCCGCGAGCCGTATTCAGATGTCTTCGAATGCCAGCATATCACAGTTTGGTTTTCCGTCTCAGCTCTACAGATAGCCAGTGGAAGAACCACGCTTACCGTCAGGGCCCCATGCCTGCTTGGTTGGAATTTGCCAGCGGCAAAGGATATCATCACGCTCCTCTAGCTCCGTGTTCCCCTCCCTGCAGTGCTCATCTGCAAGGTCGGCTGGGTGGGTCAGAAGTCGGGCACACTGAGCTGGTGTGAAAGGGGTTTGTCTGTTACTCAATAACTACTGATCATCATCCGAACATCTCTTTTTTAATGTCATTTCAATCGGGCTTAAATCTTGTATCTCTATTTAAATGCCATGAAGAAGGGCCATTGCCCGAAATGTCCAAATCCGGGTTTCAGCAACCCGTGATTAAATCTGATTCTCCAGATCGTGAGTTGATGGTATCACACACACACACACAAAGGAAACCCATCTAAACGCATTTGTTTTTCCACTCGCTCACTTCGGATAACGGTTCAAGCTGCCGCGGGATTACAACCCGCGGTGTGATTGACGCCGCGTGGCGAGCGCTCCTTTGAAGGGCGTTCGAAGTTCGCCGCCCACACCGCCCCCCCCCTCTCCTCGTGTGGACCGGACAGTTCCATTGAAGCGACTTCACAAGTCGCTCGGCGGGCTTCATCCCCCAGCGCCCATCACTGCCTGCCACGGCAGTTCGCCGCTGACGACTGCGAAGTCCTCCATGTGGGGGGGGGGGGGGTTGGATTTCTCTTCATTCTGTTGACGCAGCGCCGCTAGATTGCTTAATTGTAATTCAATCGCAGAAATAGGCCACTAAGTAAATATATCAATCGTCAGCTCTCGTCCTCAATAACGGGCCTCCCAATTCTCGCTCGAGCCAGAAACTCTTTTAACAATGTAAGCGGTTTTTGTTTTAAGTTCCAAAGTATTTTTTGATTATCTGCGGCTAACAGAAACCCCAGGGAATAACGAGTGCGTGGGTGTTGCAGGTCAGTGTAACATGTAAGGGGGAGCGGTGGCGCAGTGGTTTGCACACTGCGCTACGAACCCGGCGACCCAAGTTCGATTCCCGCTCACGTTGACGATTATCTGAACCGGTCCTGGGCCGTCCCCTAGGTAGACTCAGCCTCAAATGAGTAACTGATTGGCCACCCCACCCCCTCGTGTGCCGTGCCGGCCTTTATAGGTGCTCGCTAACAGCACTCGCCCCGACACTCTGTTAAGGCTACACGGGGGATCTTTGTCTTTGCGAGGTCAGTGTAACCTGTTCTCTACCGGACAGGTGGCGGCCCAATAAACAATCACCAAGCAGCAGAGCCGCGCCGAGAGGGAGGGGTGCTGCTGGCACGCTCGCTGCCGAATTTCCATTCCCCCAAACAAAAGCCTCTCTTCAAACAACGAATTGTTACGCGGTGATCCCCACTGGCACGCGGCGCTCCCAGTCAAGCAGGAATAACAATAATAACGATGCATGCTAAGTCATAAGTATGCGATGCGTCTGAGCGCAAATAAAATCGCCCTCTCCGCTTTGCGTCGTTGGCCGCTTGCCTTGCGGGTGGCACGGGCGTCTGGAGAAGCGCCGTCTGAGTTGATACCCGGGCATGGGGAGCGGTGGTGTAGCGGTACGAACCTGGCGACCCGGGTTCGATTCCCGGTTCTGTGCCCCTCCCCTAAGTCGACTCAGCCTCAAACAAGTACCTGGTGCGGTGCGTAAAAACATTGCCACTGGGGAGACGAAGGCGGCCCCTGCAGTCTGTTAAGGCTATACGGGCGATCTTTGTCCTTGGAGCACTATCCCGGCTATCCCTAGCCGAGCTCACAAACTCAACAATCGATCGGAGTGAGCCGAGTTGTTTCCTTAACTCCTTAAAGGAAAGCACACGTATAAGTGCCGTGTTAAGCTCCAGTGAGACAATCTGACTATACGGAGGAGATCATTTCAGAATTCCTGACACGGGAGGAACCAGCAGAGGAGAAACAGCCGCCAACGCCACAGACGCATAGCTGCCAACCCCGCATTCTTGTCGAGTTTTCAGGTCCATACGGGTGTTTGTTTCAATGCGGGCAAAATAAATGTCTGTTGAGACTCAAAAGGGCACGGGGTTGCCAATGCGGTGTGAATTGGTCCGTAATAAGGTAGGGCACTGGTAAGGCAGTGACAGGTGTGCAGACTCGTCGCTGGAGTAGAGGGCTTGAATCAGAGAGGAGGGTGGGGCGGTGCTACTCGAACCGGGGCGAATAATGTCAGCCTCGCAAGCACGGTTGCGAGAGAAGTTCTAATTTCCCCAGGACTAGACCTGCCTCGCCTGGTTTGCCTACCCGGGTCCCCGCACCTTCCCGGGCAAGGGATTCTAGACGAGAAGGCGCAAGGCACAAGTCGCTCAATCATCATCATCAACAATCAATCTTCATCGTATCCACTGCTGGGCGGCGACCTCACTGCTTCCTTTCCACGTTGCAGCGTGCGAGTGCAACCCGTTCGGCTCGGCGAGCGATCGCTGCAACGGCACGGGGCAGTGCGAGTGCAAGGAAGGCGCGAGCGGACTCAAGTGCGGCGAGTGTCTGGCCGGCTACTACTGGAACCGCGGCTGCCAGCGTGAGTCTCTGCCCCATCGCACCGCGACACCGCATCACCGCACGGCACCACCGCATCACCGCACCGCACGGAATCACCGCACCGCACGGAATCACCGCACCGCATCACCGCACCACCGCATCACCGCACGGCACCACCGCATCACCGCACCGCACGGAATCACTGCACCGCATCACCGCATCACCGCATCACGGCATGCACAGCACCACCGCACCGCTCCACTCATCGGCAAGCCCGCCGGTTTGCCAGAGATCTGTGGGCGGCGCAAAGCTCCTCCGTGATGTTGCGACGTTGCGCCCGCGTTCAGGGGGTTTCAATAATTAATCGTCAGAATGTTGCTTTGTACTGGAGGAATCCGATGAGCTATTAAGCAATTTTTTCACAGATGTCCAGTAAGGGGGCACGCTGTCATAACGTTACAACAACACGCGATTAAAACAAAAACACGATAGGAGTGAAAAGTATAGCAAAGGTAAACAAATAATTTTAAAATATACAAATAAAACTAAACTTTGTTTTTTTTACCTGGAAAAGCACACTGAGCTATTAGCTTATTTTTCAATAAGCGACCTGTTCACAAATGATAGCTCAACGAAGTGGCTTATCAAGTGGAAATTTATGGCAGCAAAACTATCTAAATAGTCTCAACACATGTTTCGGAGGACCCGGAGAAAAAAATCCAGCCATCACGGAAATGATATCCGATATTCGCCACCGTGCCGTGATCAAACCGGGTTCTGGAGTGTAGTGAGTGAATGGTCTCAACCTGGTCGCCAATGACTGCACAAAATACCCCCGACTCTTTGTCAATTAACTTCCGGATGAAGGCCTCCCCCACATCACATTGGATGCGGGTGGAGGGGGGTGTGATCGCTCTTCACCATGCTGATCAGTGGCAGGCTGGCAAAGGAGAGACCCAGGACCGGTTGAGATATCACAGTCGTTAGCCGTGGACCAGTGATTAAACACCGGTCGCCGGGTTCATCGCAAAGTTCAGTAATAAAAAAAAATCTGCGCCTCCGTTATGGTTGCCACCTCCCAAAAATAGTATTAATCGGTGACGTTTCGGGCAATGGCCCTTCTTCATGGCACCGATGAGACCGATGTGATGGATGTGGCATGCAGAAGGGCCACCGCCCAAAACGTCGCCTATTATACACGTTACTGCCGAACGTGTTGAGTTTGATTGTTAAATGTGCCTGTGCACCGCTGCTAACGAAGCAGCAGCAGCAGCAGCTTCATCGCCAACTAATCTTTGTTTGATATGAAAAAGAGGACAATTAGTCTGGGCGATCCAGCTCAGGTGACAACCCCCGCTATCAAGCCCCTCCGCCCTCCTCCCATCTCTGCACGTCACCTGATGAACGGAAGCGATGTATTAGCCGCGCAGCGTACATTCCTCCGTGAAGTCTGGCAATTAATTAATTCCAGGTGATTGCGTTAATATAATGAAGACCGCCCGGGCGATATAGGCAGCGGTTGTCGCTAGGGAAATATGGAGGCCCAAGCAGATGCGGAACCCTAGAGTAGGTTTTGTCACGTGAGCCCTTTGCTGGCTTACGGGGTAATTAAATGCAATAATATGCGGGGATTAAGCCTGCGATTTTCAAAAGCTAGAGATGCTCCCCCCCTCCCCAGGCACAGGGGATTAGACAAAGGCAGTGGCCGTGATTGCGTTCATTGCGGAGAAATAAGTAAATAAATAAATACATAGATAAATAGCACGAGCAATCGCAAATGGCAGTGGGGCTTGACTCCTGTTGGTTGCATGTTTATTTACTTCAGCGACAAGACCAAAGTGAACATCTTAAGAACATGCGTGTTCAGTACAGCTTCGTTTTGCCAACGACGATGCACTTCTAAGCGGCGATCCTGAACGACGCGATGACGATAACGCCCTGGTCTACCTCGTCTCCCTCCCTCCCCCCGTCTCCCCCTCCCCCTAGAGAACGCGTGCGACGAGGAGCTGCTGCGCTGCCAGAACGGCGGCGAGTGCCGCGACCGCCAGCGCTGCGCTTGCGCGCCCGGCTACTCGGGCGCGCTCTGCGAGGAGCGCAGCGGCTGCCGCGGCCGCGGTGCCGGCTGCGGCGGCTCGGGAACGACGCCGCGCCCGGACCCCGGCGGCCTCCTGCTGGCGCTGCTGCTGGCGGCGCTGCTGCTGGTGGTGGTGCGGCCGCTCGAGACGACCCAAGAGCTCGGTCTCGCGTCCGCCGCGTGAGCGTGCGGGATGAGCCGGCGGCCGGGGTACAGAGTAGAGTCTCCACCGCGAGGGAGAGCCGTGGATCGGCCGACGGCCTCCGCTGAGCGCGGGAGGCGGCGTGCGTCCTCTGCCGGCCCCGGCGGGCACTCCCGAGGGCCCGCAGGGCGGAATTCTACAAGTGGTGCCGACGTGCGGTGGCCACGACTCGCGATGAATATCACGATGACAACAATTATGACGATGATAACAACATCGATGGATAAGGCAGTCTACAGTAATGGAGATGATGTCACCAATGATGATGAAACGGTTGAATCTATGGCTATGGTGATGGCGTTGATGGTGATGAAGGGGATGGAATATCACGATGATGACGGTGATGATAATGCTGATAACATTGATGAAAAAAGCAGAGTCTACAGTAATGGAGGTGATGTCACCAATGGTGATAAAACAGTTTAATCTCTGGCCATCATGATGATAATGGTGTTGATGGTAATGATGAAGGGGATGGTCCAAACGCAATCAAAATAACTTAAATGAACAAGGGATTGGGTTCCTCTCCATTTAAAGCCCCGAGCTGAGCCAAAGAGCACAGAGTCATGGGACAGCTTTGAATGTGAACATGTGTGATGATAGTGATCGCAGCGGTGATAAGACTGAGTCACAAAACTTGCTCATTCATTGACCAAAAATGTTTTCCAAAAAGTTTCTCAAACGCTGCCACTCCGGATAAAACGTCTCAACCCGCAGGTTCACGCAATGAATGTTGGGTACACGGCACCACTTCCTGACATATTTTCTCTCGTTTCAACTCTTCATCCCATCGCAGAGCGAGGTAGCAGTATGCTCACCACAGTAAAACAACAACGACAACTCACGCGTCGTACCAAACGGCAAATGAATCACGAGAACAAACAAACAACAACAAAAAACCCCGCAACAATTACGATCGTTTCGATGCCTTCACAGCTATCAATTTGTTGTGCACGTGGCAACCACAGCAGCATTGGTCCCCCCGTGAGTGGGAGCCGCACCCTGCCAGTGTAAATATCTGTACATCGACCGCGAAACAACGACCAATGATGAACTATCGAGCGCCGTCGGTGAGCCGCGCGTGCGCTCACGAGCCGCTCCCAGCTTGCCGCACGTGGCGCCCTGGCTTGGAATCCCTCGAACGCTCCAAAGTCGGCGAGCGACGCGTTAGATAAATCGGCGACGATGCAACGATGAGCGCCGCGCTCTGCCCAGCGGCGCGACTTCACTTGGGTCGTTGAGCGCGCGATTGGTATCGGCCCCGGTGTAAGGAATTAAATGGGGGTGGGGGGGGTAGGGTGCCCCCTCCCTGGGGGGGTGTGGTGCCCCCTTCCTGTCTTAATGTTATCCCCCCCCCCCTCTGGGCACCTCTGGCCTGTTCGAGAGCCCCGGTGCAGTTACAGGGCCTGCACACTTGCTAGCTGTGACGCTGGCTTCACGTCGGCGATGCAAGAAGACATGGCGGTGTCGGGAGTTATCCGTTCCCTCTGCAAATGTGTTCCCCCATTAATGTTCGTTCCCCCGAGGATCCAGTATTTGGGAAGCGGGGAAAATTGGTTCCCCCTTTGAATATGTTTACCCCGAAAATGTGTTGTTATGAATGTTTAATTGCATTTGCGATTACAAACTTAATTTTAAGACGATGTTTCGAACTTTTTCGCGAAACTAGTTGCCTAAACTCTAAACCCTAAACCCTAACCTTTGACACTCATTCATAACCCTAACCCCTAACTTCGACCCCTAACCCATAACTCTTAACCCTTACCCCTAACCTTTAACCTTATCCACAACCCTGACCCTAACCCTCGAAACCCTAATTCTTGAACACTTATCTGTAACCATCACCTCAAGCCCTAACCATCGAATCTTAAACCATTGTCCCGATTTTAGGGTTACAAAAAGTAACGTTCCGCTGGTGGGAACACAGTTTGTTGCCATGGAGGTACAAATATCGCGAAATATCTGCATGGTTCATTTCTTCAGTAAACTATCTGACCTGGGCAACCCCTTGAGATGGAACGTCTCGTCAGCAAGGGGGTCCGATGAGCACGGTTGGCTACGTACGGTGCGATAGAAGTTCAAAGACAAAGTTCCACCGTAAAACCTACACGGGGCTGTTGGGGAAAGTGCTGTTAGCGAGCACCTATGAAAGAAGTTAAATAGACATACATACGCGTCCAGGTTTATCAAGTACCGAGAGCAGACACTGAAAAGACACGCGCGCGCACACATAGCCTGGTGAAACGTAAACTTTCGGGGGAGCCAATACACAGGGCATTGAGACGGCGATACCTAAGTGCGCTTCCCTCTTGCGGAGTGTTCCATGTACAATGCTGGTGGCCAGTAACTCAACGAGCATGGGGGGGGGTGCCTTGCCCCCCCCCCCACCTTTTCGGCCAAAGCTACGAGTTTGGGCATTCGGGCCCCACCCGACCGGTTGCCGCGCCCTCTGAGCTGTTCGTGTTGCGACTACGCCACTCTTCGTGGCGGCTCACGACTCCAGGTGCGGAAGGCTACAAAAATCCACCTCGGGTGGGGGGTCGATCCGGGTCTGCGTAAAGAGTGAGTTGTAGATTCTATCCACGCATTGAGTGATCACAGACTCCATCCTCCGGCGGACATGTGGCGAGCTTAGAGGGCCGGCCGTGCGTGCAGCTCACGCAGCTTGCCAGGAGAACTGGTGGAGTGGGATTTGCAGCAACCGGTGCATCGTCATCATCACTACCATATTCGTCACGATCCTCATGACCATTATCATCACCATCATAGCCATCACAACCACCATCAGCATTACCCCCATAGCCACCACTATCATCGCCATCATCAACACGGTCACGATCACAACCAGCATCATCGCCATCATTTTAATCACCACCATCATTACCAAATTTTTCCCATCACCGCCACAAGCTGCCTTCACGTTCCACGCATCACCTCGCCCAACCTGGACGCATCACCCCCGCGACTGAGAGACCCCGAATCGTCCCGGGGCTGCCACCACATCCCCCCCCCCCCCCCCCCCACTCCGCCCAACCTGGACGGACTCCTCGCGCGTTTGCTCAGCGCCCCCTCGCCTCCCCGTTCAGCCCCTGCGACGCGTTTCCTTCCTCCGGGTCGTGCCGCCGTCATGGTGTTGGTTGTGGTTGTTCGGCTGTGACGTCCGACGTTCCGCTTCCGCGCCCGCGCGCCGGAAGCCTCTTGGGTTTTTTTTTTATCCTCTACCGAAGAGCAGCAAAGCCCGGAACGAAGACTCAGCGGAGAGCAAACAAGAATGCACCACGCCGTGGCTTTGTCGCTCAATCGGCCCCAGGGCTCCCCCCCCCCAACCCCGCAAGTGGCCACACATTCTAGAACGGCTGAGACACTTGGTGCATCGGTGCAGAGGAATGGGCTCACTCGCGACAATTTATCGCCGTTTTTTTATTTTCAAGTTAACGACGCAAGAAGGAGCCGTGCCAATTTACAATGACCGACCGGGTGTGTACAAGTGTATAATGTTAATCATATTGATTACTGTTGTAACTGTGTAAAGTACAAATGAGCTCATTAATCAAGGGGGTTGGGAGCAGAGGGGAGGCGGTAAGTGCGTGCGTAAGCAAACATGAAGAAACATTAAAGAGCGCATGGAGGAACACGCAAGTATTTGTAGGCGACCAAACAGGCAGGTTGCGTGCGGTGGAGTCAAGTGTGGATACTCCCAGTGCTGTCAAGGACCCTCTGGCCGAGCGTGGAAGAGTAGGCCCAGCATGCCCTCTTAGATTAACTCCTCTCCAGCTCAATCGATAGTCGAAGGCCCATCTGCCAGCGGACAATCGGCACGGCTGCGCCCTTCCCTCCAACGACTCGCGTTGAGAAACGAGCAGCGTCCACGCAGCCTTTGCCGTGTAAATAAAATAAACACGCGACTTTTTCCCGGCCTTTTATCGAGCCGCGAATTGAAATCGTACTGCAGACGCCGGAGTTTTACGACTCGAGGCTTTCATCAAACCTCTTTGGGGATTCGCAAAAACGAGCGCGAGCGTCGTTGAGTTGCGGTCGAGAGCGAGCGAGCGAGCGGGCCGGCGTGAAATCCCCACGTGTAGAGTTCCGATCGGTTCTCGCGCAGAATCTCAACGTTGCTGCGTCTCACGACAACTCGTTACATTTCACGAGCCCGACGACGGTTCAATGTTTTACCACGTTCTGTTTTATTTTTTTATAAGTGCCATCATCCAGCAGTGGATTGACAATGGGGCTTGGACGTGGATGTGTGAGTTACCGACATAGGGGAAGGGGATCACAACAACGAATGTGTCTGGAAAATTTGGTCCGGATGGTGATCTGATCCCAAAGTGGTCTCATTCGTCAAAGGGGGACATTGAACGGAACTTATCTCTGCTGGTGATGAATATTCCACATTCCTATGTGGGACACAAGTTTATGCATGGGGGAAAAAAAACACTGCTGACTTTCCACAATGCGGTACCTGTTTTATCCACCCATGAGGAATGCCGGGCCCCGTTGACTTGCAGCCAGGATTTTGAACTCGCACAAAGCTTCTGGTTATTTTTCTCGTCTACGATTAGCCTCATCCTAATTAAAGTTTAGTCTCCTATTTGACCAAACTTCGATTTCTCCCGCTGACAAACTGAGCTATTCGAATCGACGTAAACTCATCCAAGTGTGATTCCTATTCCTTTGCGCGAGGGCTTTCTCAAGTACCCTCCGACAGCGGCCAGCGGTCGAGACTAACTCTGGAGTGGCAGCAGAAGGAGAAAAAGAAGCCCGTCAGAAGGACGTCCACTGTGGAAGTGGGTCAACGGAATCGGCCCGTGTACTGGAACTGAGATGGATCGTCACATCGCTGGACCGCGAGAGATGACGTCGGCTTTGGGGGGGTGGGCGACTTGTATCCATCCCGAGATTTATCATGGCTTACGATGATTACGATAATGACAATGGTTGATCTATGTACCAGCTGTTGTCGGCGGTGAAACCTCACCTCGCCTCTAGACCTAGCATAATTATGCTCTCAGAAATTAAAAACAAATATTTCAGGAGACAATTTCTGCTGTTTATGATTTATTCACGAAAACAGCTGTTGTCTGCATCGCCGCCAGTGAAATTTCCACCATAAATCACAACAACGAGCGGAGCGCCGGGCGGACAAAACGCAGCGAGTCTGCACAGTGAGAGCAGAGTTCGTGATCTGCCAGTCATCTCAGTCAGTCAACCTCATGGAACCTGGGTCTCTGTTCCGTGACCTCCTGCCAACAGAGAGCCTTCGACACTTCACGCGGCCTCAACGTGCACCTAGCCTGGCACATTCGCCGTCGGAAATGGCAGGTATTGTTATGGGACCTCCCTTGCCAGTACCCAAAACATAGGAATAGGTTTTACCCTATTTTTTGTTTGCATGCTCACCACAAGTATGTGTGGTTAATGCAGACATTATTGCTTGCAAAAAAAGGTTTCAGTTTGGTGTTGTAACACCTTAACACCACATTTGTATTGCCAGAAAGGGTAAAGGCTATTCGTGTTGGCAGGTATTGTTGTTCGCTGTTGTCTAGATGTCCTTGGAAGACGCGTTGGCGTGCGGCGAAGTATGTCGTCGCAACGTTCCATGTGCCCGTTCGTCGCTACATTTGGCCAGAACGCGAAGGGATTCGAAGTGAATTTGGAGGCCCACGAGTTGAAATAAAACGGTGCCGCGTTAGGCCGCCGCCATTGGCCGCTCGCTGTGTTTGTGGGCTCTTTGGAGGCCGGCTTTTTGGTGGGTCAGGGCATTTATAAATACAAAATTGAGTACGGTTATGACGAAGGAAGGTGTGATGTTTCACACAGTCTGCAGTAATTTCACAGTCGGAGTGGAGGTGGCAGGGGGGTGATGTTGCTGCGAAATTGGGTCATGTGCGGGTAATTTGTCAACAATGTGGATAGACTGCACCACCTGCACACGATTGGCTGCTCCTCTCGAACGACGCAAATTGCCCTTTAACGTACTCTACTGTGCAGCAGGCGGCACGCACTGCATTTAATGCGTGGTTAATAATAATAATACAACACGCTGTGTTAACCAGGGCGACCTGCCGGATTCGAACCGCGAAGCTTCCGCGCAACCGCCAGGTTGCCGCCAGCTGACCGTGGTAGGTCTCTGAAGCTCCCACGCTCGCTAGATTGAGAGGTGGCCACGAGATCGGGTGCACAGCAATAGGAGATACAATTTGTGTTGTATACAGCATGTCAAGACTCAGTCAAGAAACGGTGGGTGTATATATATACACATCACTTAGAGAGTAAGAGACAGTCGGTTGTTGGGAAGAATCAGAATATGTAATTATAACTGGAGAAATCCGATGAGCTATAAAGCGGTTTTTTTTTCACTTATGTCCAGTCGGGGCACGTCGGTCTTGAACCCGACTTGAACAAGGGGGGGCGAGTCAACAGCACGGACGTCCCGGGAGAGGAGGGAGGAGTTCCAGACTAAGAGGGCAGCAGTGGAGAAGGAGCGACCGCCCACCTCGCGAGTAGATTCCTGAAGCTGCCTGTGTGGAGCTTTAAGCGTTATCTCCTGCTTATCCGTGGATGTTCTCCACGTATCTCGGGGGTGTTCTTCCAAAATGCAACAAACAACGACTCCGTAAAAAAAATATTGGCCAAACATCGCAATGCAGGACCCTCCTGAAAGTGAGTCTTGAGACTTTGTGAGGTTTTTCAATCAATCGATCAAAATGTATAGAATGCACTTCACAGAAATAAAAGTTACCTCTGAGTGATTTGCGTACACTACATGTATATGAATGCCGCAGCACTTGGAATATATTAAATACAAAACATTCCATATATTAAAAAAGGGAAGTACAGTGTACTGCTATTATCATTCTTATTATTTTACCGAATTGCCACCGTGTGTGGACCTACAGTGAGGGAAAAAAGTATTTGATCCCCTGCTGATTTTGTACGTTTGCCCACTGACAAAGATATGATCAGTCTATAATTTTAATGGTAGGTTTATTTGAACAGTAAGAAACAGAATAACAACAACAAAATCCATTAAAACGCATGTAAAAAATGTTAGAAATTGATTTGCATTTTAATGAGGGAAATAAGTATTTGACCCCCTCTCAATCAGAACGATTTCTTGCTCCCAGGTGTCTTTTATACAGGTAGCGAGCTGAGATTAGGAGCACCTTCTTAAAGGGAGTGCTCCTAATTTCAGCTTGTTACCTGTATAAAAGACACCTGTCCACAGAATAAATCAATCAATCAGATTCAAAACTCTCCACCATGGCCAAGACCAAAGAGCTCTCCAAGGATGTCAGGGACAAGATTGTAGACCTACACAAGGCTGGAATGGGCTACAAGACCATTGCCAAGCAGCTTGGTGAAAAGGTGACAACAGTTGGTGCGATTATTCGCAAATAGAAGAAACACAAAATAACTGTCAATCTTCCTCGGCCTGGGGCTCCATGCAAGATCTCACCTCGTGGAGTTGCAATGATCATGAGAACGGTGAGGAATCAGCCGAGAACTACACGGGAGGATCTTGTCAATGATCTCAAGGCAGCTGGGACCATAGTTACCAAGAAAACAATTGGTAACACACTACGCCGTGAAGGACTGAAATCCTGCAGCGCCCGCAAGGTCCCCCTGCTCAAGAAAGCACATATACAAGCCCGTCTGAAGTTTGCCAATGAAGATCTGAATGATTCAGAGGACAACTGGGTGAAAGTGTTGTGGTCAGATGAGACCAAAATGGATCTCTTTGGCATCAACTCAACTCGCCGTGTTTGGAGGAGGAGGAATGCTGCCTATGACCCCAAGAACACCATCCCCACCGTCAAACATGGAGGTGGAAACATTATGCTTTGGGGGTGTTTTTCTGCTAAGGGGACAGGACAACTTCACCACATCAAAGGGACGATGGACGGTGCCATGTACCGTCAAATCTTGGGTGAGAACCTCCTTCCCTCAGCCAGGGCATTGAAAATGGGTTGTGGATGGGTATTCCAGCATGACAATTACCCAAAACACACGGCCAAGGCAACAAAGGAGTGGCTCAAGAAGAAGCACATTAAGGTCCTGGAGTGGCCTAGCCAGTCTCCAAACCTTAATCCCATAGAAAATCTGTGGAGGGAGCTAAAGGTTCGAGTTGCCAAACGTCAGCCTCGAAACCTTAATGACTTGGAGAAGATCTGCAAAGAGGAGTGGGACAAAAACCCTCCTGAGATGTGTGCAAACCTGGTGGCCAACTACAAGAAACGTCTGACCTCTGTGATTGCCAACAAGGGTTTTGTCACCAAGTACTAAGTCATGTTTTGCAGAGGGGTCAAATACTTATTTCCCTCATTAAAATGCAAATCAATTCATAACATTTTTGACATGCGTTTTTCTGGATTGTTTTGTTGTTATTCTGTCTCTCATTGTTCAAATAAACCTACCATTAAAATTGTAGACTGATCATTTCTTTGTCAGTGGGCAAACGTACAAAATCAGCAGGGGATCAAATACTTTTTTCCCTCACTATAAGTCTGTATACAGCCGCGTCCAGTAAACGCTTGCGACTGTGAGACCTGAAACACAACTCAACTGCAAATCTGAACGCGCTTTAATCTGCTTTAGCTCTTTTACATACTACGTGCTTCGTGGAACTGAACACAGAACAAAAAACAAATATAATAAACCAGAGCATCTGACAACAATATTACTAAACACATGATATTAAGAATACATTTAAGATGATAAGCCTGTGTGAGCGATGTATTTGTAATCCTTGGCGGGTGATAATTAATAAGATTAAAAATGGCACAGCTGGTGATTGGGAAATATTCGAGCGTGCTCGTAGCAGAGTAAATCCCGATGCCGTGTCCTGGCATCAGTTCGCCTCCATCCGCCTGTCTCTCTGTCCTGCTCCGTGTCGTGTGGACACGGGCGCAGGAGGTCAGGGGGGTCACAGCAGGCAGTGGTGGTAGCGGCGGTGATGGTGACCGTTTTGGTGATATCGGTTTGGGCCCTGGTGGCGATGGTGGTGGTGGTGATGGTGGCTGTATTATTGGCGGTATTGGTCGTGGTAAATGGGGTTAGAATCTCGGTGGTGGTGGTTGTGTGTACCGTAGGCGGTGGTGGTGGCTCTGGTGGTGGAAGTGGCAGCGATTGTTTTTTTAGGACTGGTGTTGATGCTGGTGGTGGTGGTGATGGGTGTTGGCGATGGTATTGGTGCAATGATGGTTGAATTACATTCCTGGTGATAGAGGTCTGGTTGTCAGTGTTCTTAGAGGTGGTGGTGGCGGTTGTGGAGAGGTGGTTATATGTACTGTAGGTGGTAGTAGTGCTGGTACTGGGCGGGTGGTGAGGTGGTGGCAGCGGCTGTGGCGGTGGTAGTTGGTGTGGTGGTAGTGGTTGTATGTGGTGATGATGATGGTGGTTGTGGTAGTTGTGGTGATGATGATGACGACGATGTTGGTGGTGATGCTGGTGGTGTGCATGATAACGACAATGGTGATATCAGTTGTAATAACGATGACGGTGGTGTTAGTGATGCTGCTGCTGTAGCTGAGGTCCGGGTTCATTGTATTGCCATTTCGAGCTAATGTGCATTTTGACATCCATCACAGGGCGAGACCCAATTCGCACTTTAATCCGGATTTGTGTGATCTCGCAGTATTTAAATTCACAGCTGCTTTAATCCCTTTGTTTGCATGCACCGGCTTTTAATAACCCGCGCACTTTCAATCATTCTGTGCCACGCATGGACACATCATCGGAGAAGCCGCACACACAGACAGAGAGAGGCAGACGTTCCGTTGTGGCGTCGTAGCCCAGACATCACGCCGAGCGACGCATAATGGAGGAGCACGGCCGGGAAAAAAACCCCGCGCAGTGGTAAGAACAAAAATAAAAAGCAATGTTCGGCCGTGCCCAGGTCGGCACATGGAGCCACGACGCTCATCTCCATTGGTGACCTGTCGAAACGGTGGTGGAAATTCCACATTCCTATGACTGGGGGTGCCGGAGTTGGCGGGGGGGGGGAGAAGCATGGGAAGCTCTTGCAGATGACGAATCCGCGTCTGTCTGACGAAGTTCTCCTCTTGTTTGAATCTGCAGCTCGGCCTGCTGGGCATCAGTCGAGTGGGTAGGGATTTGCGATCGATCGACCGTGGTGTAAAAACCACAATTAACACGCGCGGTACCACGTGGTGCGCGTGCGCGGTGGGTGTCGCGGGGGAGCGGTGGCGCAGTGGTTAGCGCACGGCGCTAAGAACACGGCGACCCGAATTCGATTGTCGATCACGACGGCCAATAACACTGGCGAATATCTGAACCGGTCCTGGGCCTCCCCTAGGTATACTCGGCCTCAAATGAGTACCTGGTGCGGTGTGTACAACATCAGCACGAAGAAAGGTGGCCAGGCATAGTTGCTGGCCAGCCAGCTCTCCCGCGTGTGCCCTACCGGCCTTCACGGGGTGAAGGTTTAAGCCCATCCAGTCGTGTATTTTGACGAGGGACGACATACAAATGATTGCTATGGAACCTTGGGAAGACCCAATCCAAGTGCATATACAACTGATGGTCTTCGTAGCTCGGAGTCGAACTCAAGGTTGCCAGGTTTGGAACGCAAGTTCGTGAACCACATAGCACCACACTCACAGCACGTGTACACACCTCATCCTCCCCCCCCCCCCACAGACAAATACGAAGATAGAGGCAAAGCACCCCGTGTAGCCTACATGTGCTGTTGGGCCAAGTGCCGCCCACATGCACACACATACAATGCAACTGGTATTGGCCAAATATCCCAAAGCTGAACTATGGACCTGCAGATTACTCAATTGGGATTGCGAATTGATAACATCGCCCCTCGACGGCGAAGAGGTGGCAAGGACCCTTGTGAAACAGAGTCCTGAGACTCAGTTGACCTCTGCCTGGGTAACCAATCGTACCCAATGATACTACTACACATATACTGCAATGTGCTCACACATATACTGCAATGTGCTCACACACACATACTGCATTGTGTTCACACACACATACTGCAATGTGTTCACATACACATTCTGTATTGTGTTCACACACATTCTGCAATGTGTTCACAGGCTTGACGAGTCTACTCGAGTGGCGTTTGTTTTATTTTCAAATGCAAACAGCAGGGGAGGCACTCGCCAGAGCTGGAAGGTTGTGCATGCACAATTATATCGACAGTGAGCGATCAGTTACACAACTCGGTTGCATGCAACGCAGTCGCTTGTCCTGTATCGTTGCAGGTCGCCTGCAACGACTTGCAAAGCAATCGCACAAAACCGATTGCTTGCTGCCACAAGTTATAATTGGGCACTCGCTATGAGCATCTTTGGCACGCGTATCGCGCAGTAATAATTATAACAATGCTAATATCAGTCAGCGGCCGTCTGCCACTCGATGCCTCTTTGTCTGCACTGTGGGGAGCGCTATTGTAGTGGTTCGCGCGGGCGATCCGACTTCAATTCCCACCCATGGCCAACACGCGTAATGATGATCTGAACCGGTGCCGGGCCTCCCCTAGGTCGGCTCGGCCTCAGCTGACTACTGTACCTGGTGCGGTGCATAAACATCAGCACTGTAGAGACAAAGGCGGCCGTGCGTGGTTCTGGCCACGCACCCCCTCGTGTGGCGTGCCGGCCTTCGTAGTTGCTACTCGCTAACAGCACTTGCCCCAGCAGTCTTTGAAGGCTACACGGGGTGGGGGTCTTTGCAGCTCTCTACGTTGGTACTTCAAGGATCGGTCGTCGTCTAAAGCTGAGCCCTAAATTAGTGCAGAAAATATTCCGCCTGGGAGCAAACACGCACGAAGCTGCTGCTGTGTCCGCTGTCATTGGCCTTCTCTTCC